ATAAAGTGTATAAGGAAAGGTGGTCTTTTGTCAGACTGCAAGTCCCATCAATCATACCCAACATAGCTTCTGGTAAGGAATGCTGGGAGTTGCAGTCCAATAACATCTACAAGAGCACACTAATCCACCTCGTTTGTAGGAGCGGAGGAGAGGCCTTATTACCACTAACAGAATGACAGTATATGAAATTTGGATGTAGGAATGCAATGTATTAGTTCCCACCCAATGAGCATGAAAAAACATGCATTTTTTGAGATTTCCAATTCTTTCAAATCAGGCATTATTTTATTACCATATTTACTCCAGTCTTATGTGTCATTGAATCTAATCTGCATCTCCATTTTCAAAACCTTGAAACAAAAATAATAATAATTTACTGTTGAAAGTATTGCGAAATGGCAAAAAGTGCACTCTTTGTAATTTAGAACAACAAAACTTCCAGCAAAGGAAAAGAAATCCTTAGAATGCATCTATGCTGTAGAATCCACTTTAAATCTTGGAGGCTGTAGTTTTCCAAGATCTTGAGCCTTCTCTGTCAAGTAATGCTGATGAGGCACCAAACTGCAAATTCCTGGTTGGCATAACACTGAGCCAGAACAATTAAATTAGAGGTGACATCCTTCAAATAGGAGCTCCAGGCTCTCCTGAAGCAGCTTCTCCTTTTGCTTTGGCTCAGCAGTAAGATTACTGTATTATGCAAATCTCATGCACCCCTTAGTTTCGGCAAGGTAATTTAGCCAAAAAGGTGAGCATTAGATTTTAGTAAATAGGGTATTTTAATCCCCCATTGTTTTAATTAGATAACTTACTCAATGATTTTGCATTGGCTGGAATCCTGTATTACCTACTTAACTAAGTACAGTAGAGTCTTGCTTATCCAACATAAACAGGCTGGCAGAACATTGGATAATAAAAAATGTTGGATAATAAGGAGAGATTAAGGAAACATCAAATTATGTTATGATTTTGCAAATTAAGCACCGAAACATAATGTTTTACAACAAATGGACAGAGAAAGCAGTTCAGTACACAGTAACGTTATGTAGCAAGCCACCTTGAGTCACCTTTGGGCTGAGAAAGGCAACATAGAAATGCAGTAAATAAAGAAATAAATAATAATTGCTGTATTTACGAAATTAGCATGCAAACATCCGAATGTATTGAAACAGCTGTGGATCCGGGCAGGAGGCAGACTGTGTTGGATAATACAAAACGTTGGATGAGCGAAGGTTGGATAAGCAAGACTCTACCTTATACTTAACTAAGGAACCTCCCCAAACTAATCAACAGCAGAACAGACTTCCTTTTTTGATTCATCTAAAGCCTGGTAAAATAGGATTGGGGGAATAGTTACAGTCATAGCAATAGTGTTACTATAATGAGGACATCATAATTGTGAATATGGAACAATTAAAAATGAGCAAATCTTGGAAACTCTTCATATTCACAACTGCTACATGGTGGATTATCCTATGCAGGCAAATCACAATTATGGCAGGACAACAGCATCTATAATCTCTCAAAATCTGAAAAATAGTCTAGGCTCTAATGGCACAATATATGGATAGAGACATGCTTTCCTCTTTTACTCTGCAATTTGCAATTGGATGTGTTTTTGAGTAGCAAAAGGAGTCACGTTGGCTTGTGATCATGCATGCATGTCCAAGTACATCTGAGATAACTGGTACTTGAAAGCCATCAAAGGGCAGGTGTCCTGGGAAAACGCATTTTCTGAAGAAAATTAAAATTCTTGTTTCTTCATCTGGCGAGGAAAGTGCAGAATGTGCTTGGGTACTCATTTTCTGAGTAACTTGTGAAGGCATAGGAAGGGGAAAAATCCTCAGTGTTCTACAACCACCTACTTCCTTCTCTATCTGACATTATGACTGGTCAGCAAGATGGTTCAAACCAGGCACCCACATCATGGTGTACTCCAGATATCCATATGTGCATCTTCCATAAGTGGCAATGCTATCTGCCATTGATGGGAATTGTGATCTAGTAGAGCTGAATGGTGCCACCAAGCTGGGAAAGGTATGTATGCCATTAAAGGCACCACAATAATTTGAGTCTACTCAACCAGGAACCTGAGAGTGGTTTGGAAACAATTCATCTTAGGTCAGTGAAATATGATAGGTTTGATAGCTGCCAGACTGACAGACCCAATGGGAACCCTGAGAAAATAGCTCTAACCTTTTTAGGGGGTGGGGAGGTGAAAAAGAGGAGTGATGCTTTTTAATGCAGCAATTCATCAACAGTAATGTCCAGGGTAAACGAGAATCACCAAAATCAAATCAGAGCTGCATAATCAATAGTCAGATCTGGTGGGATCATGATACATGAGTGGGACCCTCTCCCTGTTTAGGATTGAGGTCAACTTATGGAATTCTCCCACCACTATAGTTAATACACTGTGCAAAAACATGGGAGAGGGTCTTCTCAGCTATGAGACCCTGATTGTGGGATACGCTTGCTATGTGTGTGATTCTGGAATCCCATGCTAACTAGGGAATATTGGAAGTTAATATCCAAAAAGAAAGCTTTTTTCCAAATGCGAGATATATATGTTACAGTCCTACATAGTATTTAGAAAAAGAAAAAAGTGAGTTTGGAAACTAATTAATTATGGCAGTGCAGATGGAATTGAAGCCTTGCATCCCATTTTGTGGTCCCAAAGAAGGTTTCTGTGAAGGTGATATTTGCAGGATTTCCCTTCCAAGGAAGTGGATGTTCTTTGTACATATTTATAAAAACCCTGTTAGATACAGAAATGCCTTTATCATCATAAGTAATATGGCCCTGAAACAGAACAGAACAGAACAGAACAGGGATTTGTTACTCAGATTTCTCTAATATATATTCACTAGCTGTACTACTTCGATGTGTTTTCATCTCTCTTCAAGTGTTCAGGAAAGTTGTTAAAATGGCATGTGCCAAGAGTCCAGAGTCTAAGAGCTCGAGTGCATATCAGGTTCTATCCATTCATTTGTCCCGTGGGTCCAACCAAGATACGTCCTCAGATGGCACCTAGTTATCAAGGTGGCCTGGCCTCGGTTTTTTAATTTTGAGGGCCCTTTCACAATACACAGTTATAGCACCATGAGTGCATTATAACTGCCTTGACAATACCTGACAGACTCCTAAAATTTGTAGTTTCATGAGACCCAAGAACTCTCTGGTTAGAATTTTTAAATACCTCTCTGAACTGCAAATTTCAGGTTTCCATAAGATGTTGCCATGGCAGTTAAAAGTAGAACCATAGTGCTATATTTGTGTAGTATGAAAGGGCCCTGAAGAGAAAAGAAAAATCAATACACACAGAGTGAATATTAGCTTGCCCCACAATCCTGTCCTCTAATATGAACTCTGGCACTGTTCACAAAGAAATAATTTTCCCCAGGCAATATTTCTACCTTTATCTTTCAGGTCAAGCAAAATTCAGTGCAATCACTAGTAAGGTGTTTCTTTACAGAGCAGTTATAAATGCAATAATGTTGCAGCAGAGTACATGTGCAAATCTTTTTAAAATATCCAGCATAATATTATCAAGTGATACCTGTCCGAATGGGTCTCCTGTTATGAACCATCACGAAGTTTAAGATAATCTGGAGAGGCTCTGCTCTGTTTGACCATTGAATAGCGGCTAATGAAAAAAAGACATAAGCAATTCAAAGTGGCAATGAATTCACCCGGACTCTATTTTTAACTGACGTGTTTTAACAACTGCTTATTTAATGTTCTGTTTTAATAAATTTGTTGATTGTTTTTATTATTGTGATGGCACCGAATGGTGCTTGCTGTGAAGCCACCATGAGTCCCCCTTCGGGGGTGAGAAGGGCTGGGTACAAGTATATGAAATAAATAAATAAGATCAGTTCTTATACTAGCAGGAGAATGCATAAGGGTTCCTTAGTTACAATTTGGAATCCCACTGTTACAAGGCGTACTTGGGGATTATGTATGTCACAAAACATGGCTGAGTGATTTTGAAAGAAAAGTGGGAAAACCAAGGACAATCATCTAAGGAAGCAATGTGTAAACACACACGTATCTCCAGGAACAAGGCAGCTGTTTGCCATCAAGTTGTCTTGAATGTATAACAATCCTGTGAAAAATAAACTTCTAGGAGCCCCAATCATCAGCTTCTCTGCACATATCTTGCAAACACAGGGAGCTTCCAGACAGCCCTTTGACCAGGGAAGATTCGCGTTTTAAAAACATGAATGTTCCCAAGTCCTTATTTACACACACCCCAGAAAGTGTGTGCTTTCAAGGATAGGTGTCCAGATGTGTTCCCAGAACTTTCCAGGAGAATACCCAGACACTCTAACACCCTTTTTTAAAACCCCTTTTAAAAGTAAAAGTCCTTTCCATTAGAATGGTCCTGGAGCTCTCCTGGCACATAGAAATGATGTGCTAGGAGAAGGGGGAAGGAGGAAAATTGCTCTCCCCCCCCCCCCCCCCCCCCGCCACTGTCCTGGTGTGTCATTTCTATGTGCCAGGAGAGTTCCAGCCGCACTCTAATAGAGGCCGGGTAAGTTACTTGACATTTAAAGGGGTTTGGGGGGGTTGGGGAGGGGGTTGGTGTCCTTGCAGTTTTCTGAGCTAATTTAGCCCAGAAAACCACAGGATTACTGTCTGGACTGCCCCCTCAAAAGCCCAGAACTTTTGAGGGAGCAGTCCAGACAGTGAAAATAGTGGGTTTATCCCACACCTTCCAAGGAGGCACAGAATAAACCTTCCAACAAAAAAATTTGGGATAAAAAAGGGTTTTCTCTGGGCCATCATTGGACAGCCACCTTTAATTGCATGAACTCCCGTGTTAATGGGGCTGTCTGGATGGGCCCCCAGGCCTTCCCTATTTGGTTCAATGCATCTGTAATGCAGCCTTCTTTATTCTTATTTCACTGAGCATCATTATATTTTCTAATGAATCATGTTGCCTCATGCTATGTCCAAACTATAACAACCTCTGTTTACTCATTTTGGCTTTTAGGGAGAGTTCAGGGTTTATTTGCTCCCAGAGTTGTTGGCAATCCCAGGTATCTTTGGGCTTGTCTGTACACTAGGAAGAAGAACCATACTCACTACAAATCCAATACTGGCAGTATTCACAACACACAGGGACTTCCCGTAAGTATCCTGAGTTTTTTGCTTTTAAAACCAATTTTGCTCCATATCCAGAAAAGTTGCAGGAAACTTCAGAATATCTGCAGGCTCCATGGCCATCAGGACAGATGGGTTGGGTTAGTTTCAATCCAATTCATTATCTACATGGAGAACGCTACCATCATCCTTTCTCTTTGCTGTTCAGCACTCTACCCCATCCTTATTGGTTGTTTAGGTGCTCTGTTATGTCTGTAACTGGCAGGGGGGAACATAAAGGACAAAGAAATGGCTCATCAAAGCTGATGTGGTCTCAGCCTGGCTTGACACCAACACCATGCTGGCCACCATTGTAATTGATGCAGGACCAACCCAGGGCATAATGGCCTGGATTACTGTCCATATGGCCTTTTAGCTCAGCTGCTGGGATACATAAAAAAGAAGGTGCTATTGTGCTGCTATCCTACCTCTAAGCTTCTCAGGGCCCTTCCACACAGCCATAAAATTCAGAATATCAAGGCAGAATAACTCACAATATCTGCTTTGAAGTGGAATATCTGAGTCCATACTGCCATATATCCCAGTTCAAAGCAGATAATGTGGGATTTTATTCAGCTGTATGGAATGGGCCCCAAAGTCATCTAGTCACTTTGGTAAAGTGGAACCATGCTGGCTTAGATACACCTTTGGGCTAATCCAGTAGAGTTCAAAAGTAGGATAATGTCCCTTGTTCCTCACATCAGTTTCGGTACAATCTAACATTCTTGTTAACTTTCTTCAATGATTATATTTTTCAGTGTGCCACATGTAAGACTTGATATTTGATTTAGCCCAGCCTTTGCTGTAACTCAGTATCCTCCAGATATATTGCTTTACAAATTGCCTTCACCCTGCTCTATAGTCAGTCGGTATGTTGACTGTGAGTGATGGTAATTGTAGTTTGGTACATCTGAAGGAAACCTCCTTTGGGCCATGTGAGTTTATTTATCTCTTCTGAAATATTTAGTTCTTATTTGTTTTAAGCGCTCTATTCACAAAGTCCAAAGTGCAAGGTAGAATCCAATGGTGTATATTTCAGCTCTGATTAGCAGCAGTTGGTGTTTATGACTTTCAGGTCCTTTCTTCTTCTTTTCTTAGTAGCAAAACCAAACCACATACCACCCAGCATCCTTGTTGAAGGGATGGGAGAAGATGAAGTGTCAGGTCACTCTAAAGCAGAGCCTGCTGTGCTGAGTGAGGCTGAGCTAGAGAAGATTGGCATAAGGAAACAGGTTCCACCCACTTCCATTTGTGCCAAGACCCAGAAAATAAGGTATGGTGTTTCTTTAGCAGTTACTAAAATATATGCTGTTACTAAAATATATTCTGTGGAGATCACAAGGTCTGGAAAGAATGAATGGACAGACTCACAAAATGGGGACTGTTGTGAGAATTGATACAAAGATTGCCTGATTCTCTGATGCTTGGATACTTTGTGTCTTGATACTTCCACCAAAGGTTTTAACCTTTTTTTGCTCCAAGGACCTCTTTGCCAGTCAGGTGAAAACCACAAACCCCTTCTCAGAATATAGCGGCAGATAGTTTTATGACACTAAACATCAATGTGTCTTTAAATTAAAAATTAGAATTATTCATAATTATGTTTCACAAAGATTAGGGACTTTATCACATTGCTTAATGGATTCACCACACATTCTCAGGAAACCTTTTTCTTCTGGAGATTCTGCTTCCTTCTGTGGAGCCTTTGGAGATTTCTTCCTCTTTCTCTACAGATCCTTTGCAGATTCCTTCCTCCTTCCATTCTTGCCTATATTTAACCTGTTCCTAACTTGGTGGATGTCACCGGAAGTGAAGGAGACATCAACACACTGGGATTTTCATTTCAGTCAGCCCCATTCTTATGGTGTGAGCAGAATTCCGTGAAAAGTAGTTTGAAAAGGTAGAGACTTCTGCAGCAGAAGCCCCACCCTAAACTACATTTCCTAGAATTCTGCATGTGCAAAAACGATCTATGTGAAATAGAGTAGATGTGAACATAACTTCTGCCTGCTGCTCTCTTGGGAGATGAAAACAAGGAGTTGCAACAGATGAGACAAAGCCAAAAAATATAGACATTTGGTGTCTTTCAAATGCAAACAGGACTATCTGACCTTTGGAAGCTGCAATGGGAGAGGGGTGCCAAAGTTAGTTTGGCAGCTCCATGTAAACAAGATAGTTTAACACTGATTGCTGTCTTGAATGTAGCAGCGAGAGGATTTTGAAGAGAAATTCCAGTCTATACTTTTAAAAATAGGGTTGGCTGCTCCAAGCTGGTGAGACATCCAGGATATGACTTCTCACAATGTCTTAATGCATCTTACAATGTTCAGACTCTAGAAAGAGGCATCTCCCTGCCTAAACTCTTGCTTGCAAGTAACATTTATTGAGCATAATACCACTGTGTCACATCCCTAGACCCCAATATAAATTTATTCCTCTGAGCTCTACATAGGACAGATCCAGCCTGACAAGATGTGGAGTGTGTCAAGACTGATTGTCACAGGCAGTCACTGATAGTAGCGGATACTGCCATCTTTTAATCCACAGGAGAAATCTATTTCCCACTACTTTTCACCACAGGTTGCAGCAAAAAAATGAGTGGAGTTTAATCTGGCCTGTTCTGCAAAACTGAGGGGGAAACCTTTGCATAAAATGTAAACAACAAAGTTCAATTACTTCTTAGCAAAAGGAATTATCAAAGAATAACTTCATGATGATGGGACTGTTTCATTGTTCCTCAAAAAAAAAAAAGCAGGAATTACAAGATGTCAAAACCTTCAATAACATTTGCCCTGCCTTTATCCACCCTCAGAGATGTATTTCCATGCCTCTTTTCTAGATGCTCAGCTTCAACTGCAAAGTCCTTGCTGTTCCGCTTCATCCCCATCCTGACCTGGCTGCCACGATACCCAGTCAAAGAATGGCTGCTAGGAGACATCATTTCAGGATTCAGTGTTGGTATCATGCATCTCCCACAAGGTAAGCTATCTTAGTGTAGGTTTTAGAAGATGTATAAAAGCAAAGAGACCAGAGACAAATGCCTCAATTGCAACAGAATCTGTGTTCTAGGCAAAGAGACCCAGTCAATACTATATGATGACCTTCCCTTTTATCTCTCACCTAGGTTTGGCCTACTCACTTCTTGCAGGGCTGCCTCCTGTCTTTGGCTTGTATTCAGCCTTTTATCCTGTCCTGGTGTATTTCTTCTTTGGGACATCTAGACACATTTCTGTGGGTAAGCAAAGAGATGTGGAGTCAAGAAGCATTCATCTTGCATCTTTCCTGGCATGCTTAGGGAATGCCCTGAACTGCTTAGGTCTGGAGATAGCCTTCTCTTATTCACTTCATCTCCCCTTGAAATGTTACACAGTGCATATCCATTCTCTTGAATGTGCTCTTATGAACTGAGAGGTAAAAGGGTTAAGTCTTCTTTCTTCAAATGCCTACGAAGTCAGGAAGTTGAAATGAATTACTCCTGACATATTTTAGAGAAAGAAATATATTTGGAATATAGCAACCAGAATCTTGAACTAGCATATCTGTGGGCTTCTGGGAGTTATAATCCAAAAGTGTCACTTTTCTAGGATCTAGCCATGAGATTCATTCATAGGGCTTCATCACACTATAGAAAAAATCCACAAAATCTGATTTCTGTCTCCTGCAGAATTCTGGGGTTTGTAGTTTAGGGAGAAGCCTTTAACAGCCTCACTAAACTAAAAACCTCAGAATTTTGCAGGAGACAGAAACCGGATTTTAAGTGGACTTTTCCCCAGTGTGATGAAGTATTTAGACATCATTTGAATCATAGAGCTGGAAGAGGCCTGAGGGGTCATCATTTGCTACCCCGTACACTCCTTTGCAAATTACAAACAGCTCAGTTCTGCCACTCTGAAGTGAATCGACAACTAAAGCCTGCTGCATCCTGGGAGAAAGAAAGGCATCTCTTAAGGTCAAACTGGGAGTTGGTCTCTTGGCTCAAGCCTCTCTCTCCTTCCTACCACAGGCCCTTTTGCAGTCATCTCAGTGATGATTGGGAGCATAACAGATTCACTGGAACCAAGTGCGAAGTTTATGGAAATGGAAGACGTAAATGGTACCAATGTTACCATTTTGAATGAGGCCCGGAGGGATGCTGCCAGAGTGCAGCTAGCGTCTGCGCTCACCTTACTGGTGGGCATATTTCAGGTGAGTGAGAGATCCAAAACTCTGTCAGGAGGAGGAAGGTGTATTCCTTCTGGAGAAACTGGATCAATGACCAACTGTGCAGATGAAGAACACTGGTTTCCCTCCCTTGGATCTAAGAATGGGCATGTGTTCCTATCCATTCTCTTCAGAACATCCTAACAGGCTTGTGTATCCATTCAGGTCCTGAGTACAATGGTCCCTAGAGAGATTTGTGAAGTGCTCCATTTAAAGAGCTTGAGAAAGTTACCTTTTTGAAACATCCATTCCCAGCCAGCATTGCCACTGACATACACTCGCAAAGGTTAGGTCAGAACACGGACACACTAAATCCTTTTAAAGATCTAGAAACAAACTACTATGAGAAATTTCTTAGAGAAGTGGGTATGTTTAGAGAATAGAAGAATAAGCAGTGATTATATACCTGATGGGATTTTTTTTCATGTCAGGAGCAACTTGAGAAACTGCAAGTCACTTCTGGTGTGAACGAATTGGCCGTCTGTAAGGACGTTGCCCAGGGGACACCCAGATGTTTTGATGTTTTTACCATCCTTGTGGGAGGCTTCTCTCATGTCCCCACATGGGGAGCTGGAGCTGACAGAGGGAACTCATCTGCACTCTCCCCGGATTTGAACTTCCAACCTGTCGGTCTTCAGTCCTGCCGGCCAAGAGTTTAACCACTGCACCACTGGGGGCTCCACCTGATGGGATGCCATGTAGAAGATAGAGCAAACTTGTTTTCTGTTGCTTCAAACTACATCATGAATTGATAAAATCACATTATAAAATAAAAGCTTTCACCTAAATATTAGGAAAAATTTCCTGAGGGCAAGATGGTTTGACAGTGGAAGAGACTGCCTTAGAGGGTGGTGTACTCTTGTTGGATGGCCAGCTCTTGGGAAAACTTCAGTTGTGTATTGTTGTATGTGCGAAGGTTGGACTAGATCGTCCTTGTGGTCCCTTCTTGCCCTGTGAATTCTGAGAGACATTTGCATTGCTACATATGAGGCTGTGCATGTAATTTCTAATTTCTGCTGTTTTGATAGGAGCAAAAAGATTACAAGGCATGTTGTAGTTAAAAATAAGCATGGGGTTGTGGCTTAGGAGACAGTCTAATATGGAACAGTTTCAGACAAAAGCTACAAAAAGCATCTAATCTCACAGCAATGTTGAATTATCTTCAGGGTCTGAAAAAAATCCCTTCTGTTTGAAATACAGAGAGATCCCCTTTAGGCTAGAAGTTAAGCCCCTTCCGATGAGGAAAGAGCTGCAGACTCAGAATTTCCACAAACTAGATAGAAGCTCATTTATATCATCTGCCTGCCAATATTAGGTGTGGCTCCTAGGAATGGTTACAACAAAGAGTACCAATTCTGCTTTCAATTTTCCACCACTTTTTACAAATAAAATCCCTTTCCCAAAATTTTGTGCATGCCAGTTAGCTGTGCTACAACAACAAACATATAGTTCTAGCTCCCACCCATATCACGTCTCTAAAGTTTCTCTTTCTTGTCACCTATATGAGAGAGGGGTTTTTTTAGAAAAAAATAAGCATGCCAAATATTTTTCATAATAATAATAATAACAACAACAACACTTAATTTATATTCCACCCTTCTCCCCAAAGGGACTTAGAGCAGATTACAGCATATAAACAGACACAGGCAAAAATTCAATGCCTTGTTACAATAAAATACAATGGGATGCAAATACACAGACAAAGGCAAATGCTTCTCCTTTCATTTCTGGCTCTGGAGGCGGTGCTCACCTCCGGCTCTAGGGGAGGTGCTCATCTCCATTTCCAAGTTAAGGAGCTTGCGTTGTCCATAGACATCTGCTTGTAGTGTCTTTTGCCTTTTCCCACTGAAGGGATACCTATTGATCTACTCACATCTGCATATTTTTGAACTGCTTGGTTGGCAGGAGCTAGGGCTAACAGTGGGAGCTCACCCCATCCCATTGATTCAAACTGCCAACCTTCAGGTCAGCAGTTCAGCAGTGCAAGGGTTTAACCCATTGCTCCACCCATGGCCCCAACCTTATAAATTTTAAATAGAATTTATAAGGTGCTCCAAATTAAAGATTCTGGAGAGACACAACATACTCTTCTCTAAAGCAAAATCACTGACAGGCAAAGAACAAAGCAGTGAAGGCCCATGCCTAATTTCACTTGGAAGGGCATCCAATAGGATGTAAAATGCCCTCATCCTCATGGATCTGAGACTTAATGTGGAATTGCCTTTTATATTTCTTCCTTAGATATGGCTTCTCTCATGAAGACAGAATGAACTAAGTATGTGTTCTGTATTTTATCTCTGAGAAATAACCCTCATGCTAAATATCTCTGCTGTCTGTCTGGATATCTCATTCAGTCCAGAAATATGGTATGGACAGTCCTGAAAAGGGAACCCTTGGAGATAATCCATAGCTGAAGTTGGTGTCCTCTTGATTGGTCTCTATTTAGATTGCCCTTGGCCTGTTGCAGTTTGGCTTTCTGGCCACCTACCTTTCGGAGCCCTTGGTGCGGGGCTATACCGTAGCGGCTGCTGTCCAGGTGCTGATCTCCCAACTGAAGTATGTCTTTGGAGTGGAACTGGAAGAGTATGCAGGGCCATTGGCAATGATCTATGTAAGTACAGTTGGAAACGGGATAACATGGGGAAGAGTAAGGAAAAGTGTAGGGTGCTTTGTGAGCCTTTCACTGCTTATCCTTGGCTGTTTAAAGATATGGTTCTTCAGTTTAACGTCTGAGTTACTTGTTTGCCATTATATTAATGCTTGTGGGTATCGTTTGTTCTAAGGATTGACTTCTAACAAGGTCCTGCTTTTATTGACTAGTGATTTTCAAATGGTAGTCCCCACATGTTCATGGAGATTCACATTTGCCAAATGGATGTGACATCACTTTTACCCTTTCAATAAGGTTATGGTGCAGTTAGTTCCAGTAGGTTATGGAATTTCCAATAGTTTCTCTCTCTTATTACATCCTCTGCCTTGTTTATTCTCTACAGGCCTTTCTGGAGCTTTGCTCTAAATTGCCAAAGACCAACGTGGGCACCTTGGTCACTTCCCTGATTGCCATTGTTTCCATTCTCATTGTCAAGAAAATCAGCGACAAACTGGGGAAAAGGATTCCAGTCCCTATTCCCACTGAGCTTCTTACGGTAATTTGTTGCATTTTCTTTGAGGAGTGCCACTTTGTCTGTCTGTAAAACCACGGAAGTTGCTTGAAGATGTTGCAAGACCAATTAAGGCAACAACACAAGAGCCATTAATTCAATTCTGGGAGAAGAGTAGGGTAGACATCTAAATAAATAAATAAATGGGCAGAGAATAGGGAGAACATCAAATGAAAAAACATTTTTTTAAAAAAAGACAAACTTCTAAAATAATATTTTGGGAAGGCTCCCTGGAAGTATTTTTCCTCACTACTTCTCTAAACCTGAACAATCAATAGGCCAGATTTACCTCTCCTGGGAGATTGCTTTAGATTTTGATTGCCACAACCCCCAAATAATCTGTCTGAAATGCCCACCTGTCCATATATCCAGTAACAGAAACAACCAAGCAATTAAACTCTTTGAAAGCCAAGTGTCATGTTTCTGGGCTTCTTCTTTGCAGTTGTCTATGTAGGGCAGTCTTCTCCAACTGAGCGTTTTCCAGATGTGTTGGATTGTAAGTGCCATTGCCTCAATCTGTATAAGTTTATCTCATAGATAGAGATGAGAGATAGAGATGAAAGTGTCATTTCCCAACAGATTTGGGGAGAGTCTGTTGAGTAGAATTTGATATTATATAGTCCACAGCTCACTAGTTAGGAGAATTTGCCAGTAAACAAAGATTCATTTTGCTACTTTAGTCAACTGTGTTATCTGAAAATAGCCTTAGGGAAAAAAAGAGATCTTTGCAAATGCCCCCCTTCCCCCCTCCCGCAATTTCAGAGAACCCTGTTCTGGATCATTTTATGATTTCAATACAGGAAAACAAGCTTTTCATGATCCAATTTGATTATATTTTACATTAGACATTCCTTTAGTGTAACATTTGTAAATACTTGCAGTTATTTTGATTGGAGAGTCTCCAACCCGCAAAACACAGTTAGGCAAGACGGCAATTAATGACCCCCCCCCCCCCAGCTTTTCTTGTCTCCTTTATGACATATCTGGTAATTCTGGACACACTAGAAGTTTGGGGGATGGTGTTAGTAATCCATTTTGCACCACTGTTTTGGCAGAGCTGAATTATAGATTCAGGTTAAATTAAATGAGACCAAAGGCTGTGATATTCAAAGAACCTGCAGCCACATCATTCTATAACAAAACTGATGCAGACACTTCAGTAGGTGCAAATATAACCAAAGTCTGATCAAATCCAGAGCCAGCAGACTGCTTTTACAGGCCAAATGTAACACTGATCTATTTATTACCACAGATGTTACCCATGTCAGTTGGCAGATGACCCGCTTTCTCCAGGTTTTCCCCCACCGAGTGCAGAAGGCTTAGAGATTATCAACTCCCATGCCTACAACTTTGTTTAATTTCTGAGGGACATACCGATTCCCCTTCATTTCTGCTCCTCTACGGTTGTTTCGCAAATGAAAAGAAGGAATTTTATTAACAAGGAAAGATACCTTGCCTCACTGTGCCACCTCTTTTCAGATTATTATTGCCACAGGGATCTCTTATGGTGCCGAACTGAATCGACAGTTCAAGATTAGTGTTGTGGGTGAAATCCCTAGTGGGTAAGTGTTTCCCATAAGCCTGTGTTAGAGATGTCATTTGCCAAGTACATTTGTTTCAAAGCTGATTAGAATCTCTTCTAGCCTTGCTTCAGTCCAAGGCTGCTACCCTGATCCTCCACCATTCTCAGTGGGGGATGGGGGGAGGGAGAATAAACCAGGAGAAACATATAATTCCTCATAATTATTGAACCATATGAGTTCAGGCCAGGAGGTTTTCATTGTGGTTGTGTTTCCTTATTGTAGGTTGGTCCCCCCAAAAGTCCCTGTTGCCAGTTACTTTGGACAAGTGATAGGAAATGCTTTCGCCATTGCTGTGGTTAGTTATGTCATTTGTGTCTCTCTTGGCAAGATCTTTGCATTCAAACATGGTTACAAAGTGGACAGCAACCAGGTAAGTGGTGATCTCCTATTCTTGTTGCTACTGAACTTCTTTGTTTCTCTTCCCCCTAACTTCTCCTTGGCTCTGCTGTCTCATATTTGATATCTTCTTCATTGCCATGATGGAAGATGGACTTATTTATTTATTTATTTCGAGCATTTCTATCCTGCCCTTCTCAACCCCCTAGGGGGGACTCAGGGCGGCTTACAACCGGCACATATTTGATGCCTACAATTCAACATAGTAAAATATATAACAGCAACAATTATAAATAATTAAAACATTCAATTAATACAATAACAACTAATAGAAAAAGAAAAGCCAATCTGGTGGCTTCCCTGACCGCATAGCATAGTGGTCTGGGTGTTGGACTAGGACTTTGGAGACCAAGGTTTGAATCCTGACTCATCTGTGGAAAGCCTCTGGGTGATCTTAGGCAAATCACGCAGGAACACGGTTGTCCTTTTCCATTTCCCGACATCTTGTAGTGCCATGCTCCTTTTCTCTCAATATTTTAATTTGACTGGATTTTTAAAAGGATGCTATACTGTATGACTCCCTTGAAATATTTTTACAACAAAATTAAGAATATATATTTTTAAAGTACACGCACTAGATAAGTGACTTGCCTACTTGATTTTTCTAGTTAGTTCCAAACCTGTTCTTTGATTATTATTTTCCTGCTCCCTTTTATATCCATGATAAAACACTATAAGATTGAAGAACAGCCCCTCCCAGTTCTTCTCCTGATGTTTAAAGAAGCTCCTTTGATTCATTTGGGTGCTTCCAGGCAGATGGTTCCTCATTTCAATGAACAAAACATAGTGTGCAGCAATTCAGTGTTTTCTTCCACAAAGCTTTTTAGGGGAGGAGGGAGAAAAACAGAAGACGTTTTCGAAAATAAAGAGTGGCTGTAAGCCAAAGGAAAATTGTTTAGAACCCTGATAACATTTTATGAATGCACCAGGGCAGCTGCATAATGAAAGCTTTATGAAGGAGTAGTATTATTTCCAATCTGTGTTTCTTAGAAGAGAAGCATTTTAACCATCTTCCGACCTGTGAGTCCCATCTTCCAATGGCATACTGACATATTTCTGGTTGTATTGATCCATTTAGTTTTCATGGCAAGAATACTGGGGTGGGTTGCCATTACCTTCCTCAGGGATCGTATTTGGTCTGACCTCTCTGCCATGACCTTCCCGTCTTGGGTGTCCCTTCACAGTTTCACTCATGGCATAATTGAGGTGCTCAAGCTCCAGCACGACGACAAGGTAACAATTCTTTGCTGGCACTTAAAAGAGAAGGAAGCTGTTAAATCAATATGCTCTATTGTCCTGAGAAAACCACAGCATTAGGAAAATACGGTCTAATTTGAAATAGATCATAACATTTTCAGGACCGTCTGTAAAATTCCAAGGCTGTAGCAGGACAGCTATACAATAAAAGCTTCATCTAACAACACTGAAAAAGTAAAAAATTGGATATTTTCCATCCTTTTTCTACATCATTGTTTATGAGAATGGGATTGCAAAACTGCAGAAGACAAGCAGATACAAGGTTAAAGCTTAAGAAGGTTATGGCAATGAAGAGATGGGCAGAGTGCAACCTGTGGCCTCTATTCAGTTCCTTTGCCCCACTTTTGCAGCCCATGAAGCCAGTCACCAGTCCTCCAACCCTCTCCCATTTTTTCAGTGTGAGTTTCAAGCATGTTTATCTGAAAACAGTGCTGAAAATCTGTCAAATTCAAGAAAACATGTGAAACAACGCCAGTTTTCCTCTGTCGTCCTCCCCCCCAAAAAAACAACACCAGTTTTCCTCTGTAGTCCTTCCCAAAAAGATTCCAATTTTGAAAAAAATCGAAGGTATTTGGGCTTGCTGTATAGGGAGAGCTTGCCCTCAGAGGATTAGGGGGATGGGAAGTTGCATGGGGCATTTGTCCTGTGAATTTGTTGCATAAGGATGCTGCTTCCTATGTATCCCAGGCTGTACTTTGATCAGGGCTACAATTATCCACAGCTTGCATATAATGGTAATAAACTGAAACAGATTCTGCTGAGTAATTGAGTCAGTCAGTCCAACATGCAAGTTCAGCCAGTGAAATAATAGTACATTTCAAAGAATAGTACTTTGATAGTTCTTGACCTTATCTTGTACCTTATGCTGGAGAAGTGTTATCATGGCATTGCGTCATCATGCAAATCTAATTTATTATGGACTGAATCATGCTTTTATTCAGTGGTAGTTGGCAGCTCCCATATTAGTGATCTAGGATATCACCTGAAGTTTAAAAGAACTGTCTCATGTGCCGAACCTATTTTGGAGACAGAATTTAGCATTTGGATACCTCCTTTAAAAATCAAACCTCGCTTACAAGAAAGACACAACTGCTTCTTCATGACACATGTGCTCATATAACGTAATTTGCTAATGTCTGCTTCCGTTATGAACTTGTGAGTTATTTACATTGTGATTTTATTTTATTAATTTGTTTCATTATTTTATACTCAACTGTTTATTGTGTAAATTGCTTTTTGATTAGGGGAGTATCCTGTTACTTCCACTAAGTACCATGGCCTATGAAACAGAATATTAGTTAGTGAATTCATCAATGCACATAATTCTCAGAGCAGCTTGCAAACTAAAAGCATGCATAAGAATAAAATCATTCACATGAGAAGCATTTTAAAAATACAGTGCCTCCCTCCCCCCACACACATTTGCAGGTTTCTCTTTTCAGGAATTTGATTTTGTTTATGGGTTATAGCTATGGCTTAATGGACAGCCTCTTTGATCCCCTCTGTCTGCTGCCCTTCTGCCTGCCGTCTTATGACCTGCTAAAAGCACCAGCTCCTCATTCCTTTTACTATTTTCTTACCACAAAGTTTCAACCTTTTTAACCCCTTCCCAATGATCCACTTCTTCACCCCAATCCTTTTGCTCCCAGATATTAAACTCCTTCCCTTCATGTGGAACTCACACTTCTTTCAATTTGCTTCTTATGCATGCCCATCAGTTTTCTCCTTTGGATCCCCTCAAGGCACCAGATCCCATCTGATCTTGGAAGCTAAGCAGGGCCAGCCCTGGTTATTTCTTGGAAACTACAATGAACTCCAGATGCTGTAGGCTATGTTTCAGAAGAAGGAATGGCCAAAACCATCTCTGAGTGTTCCTGGTCTAAGAAATCCTTTTAAAATCTATGGGGTCACCAGAAGTCAAAGAGCGACATAAAAGGAAATACCCTAGTCTGCACAGAAACACTATTTTGAGTATTTAATACCATCTTCACAAGTAGTTTAACAGAGCATCTTGTAATACTTTAACTTCAAGGTGAATACTGTATGTCTAACCTAGGTCACATTTTCATAATCCAAATAAGAAGATAGACATTGATTGCCTATATATTTATCTTGGCCTTTATCTGCTATTTCTGTCTTGCAGGAGTTGATTGCCTTGGGGCTCAGTAATTTCGTGGGTGGTTTTTTCCAATGTTTCAGCATTGGCTGCTCCATGTCTCGCTCTCTGGTGCAGGAGAGCACAGGGGGCCACAGTCAGGTAAGTCCCACCTGATCAGAGTAAGTTCAAGGGTTTATAAAACTTAAGAAAATCCCCCCTTTTTCATGTTAGAACTTCCCTTATATCCCAGCCAGCATGATCACATGACAGAAGTTGTAGTCCATTGCATTGGAAGGACAGCAGGCTGGGGTACACTTGTTTAGGATTTTTCATAACCAAAACCAATGAAATATCCTTTCCATCTCACAGTTTGCCCCAGACAGAAAAAAGGAGGGCTATGTGCTTTCTTTACCTGCCTCTTTCAATCAGTCATGTTCTGTTCTACAGGTATCTGCAGCAGTATCCTGTCTCCTCCTCTTAGTAACCATCTTAAAAATTAGTGAACTTTTCAGAGACCTACCAAAGGTATGTTCAAAATGAATCTATTTTCATTTTTAAGGTGCAGTTTCTTTATATTAAGTTCCAAAGAACTCAATGGGATTTAATGTCCAGTGTCTTCTCCTAAGACTAAGGAAGTGGTTGTTATACGGATGTTTAATGATTTCTGTTACAATTGTTTTTAATTGCCCTATACTTGTTTCGTGATGTTTTGTATTGATGTTGTTCACCGCTTTAAGTTGCCTGAGGGCTGAGAAAAGCGGTATATAAATAAAGTAAATAAATAAATAAAGTAAATAAATAAGTGGGACTTGACCAAGTGATTTGATAGTGATTTGAACACTGGTCTTCCAGACTCCAGCATTGAAACCACTGTGACATATTGGTTCATATCTATCTCATCATTGGTTGAGATGTGATTAGTCCCACCCCACAAAAGCTTTATAAGTACTGAATCCTGGGCACCTCCACAAGAAAAGATCAGAAAGTTTTGGGTCCAAAATGTCCTTATTGGGGGGTGGGAGTTGGGAGGCATTTATGCCATGTGCCCCAACCCCAGGGTTTAGATCAGGGGTCCTCAAACTTTTTAAACCGAGGGCCAGGTCACAGTCCCTCAAACTGTTGGAGGGCCGGATTATAATTTGAAAAAAAAACATGAATGAATTCCTATGCACACTGCACATATCTTATTTGTAGTGCAAAAAAAACCCACTTAAAAACAATACAATAATTAAAATGAACAGTTTTAAGAAATATAAACTTATTAGTATCTCAATGGGAAGTGTGGGTCTGCTTTTGGCTGATGAGATAGGATTGTTGTTGTTGTTGTGGTTGCTGCTGCTGCTGTTGTGTGCTTTCAAGTAGTTTCAGACTTAGGTTGACCCTGAGCGAGGGCCAGGTAAATGACTTTGGAGGGCCGTATCCGGCCCTTGGGCCTTAGTTTGAGGACCCCTGGTTTAGATGGATGGTTGTTTAGATCTTTGGTTGTTTCCAGTGACAAGGTTTCTATGATCTCACTATTCTCTAAACCCTCTGTGCACTTTCTTTTTCAGGCTATCTTAGCCGCCATTATTCTTGTCAACCTGAAGGGCATGTTCAAGCAATTTAAAGATATCCGCATCCTTTGGAAATCCAACTTTGTTGACCTGGTAAAGAAGAGAAGATTTGACCCAAGATCAGTTTCAAAGGAGAATTCTATCACACAATTCCCCTGTTTCTCCTCCAGCATTTTCATTTATTAGCATAATGGAAGTACATTGAAAAATCCCTCCTGTTCTAATCAGGAAACAGTTTAATCATAGAGCAGCATTTTCATGTCATATGCTGAGTGTCTGATTTTGTTATTCTGCTGTGCCATTTGTCTACATTCCTGGATAGCAAAGTATAACAGTGAAGGCTTTTGCTTTAGCCATTTGTTTATTTCATATGTTTATATGCTACCTTTTTGTCATTGAACTCAAGTTGGCATGTGTGACTCTCCTTCTTTCTATATTAACTGAAGTGTTCTGTCTAAAAATCACTTCATATAACTATATGGTGGAATTGGACATTGTTTTAATTATTATTGATTGAAGTATGTTTCATTATAATGTTTGATTTTATTGTTGCTGATGTTTTTGATATTGTATATTGTAATTGTGTCCTTAGTGGCACTGAATTCTTGCCTTGTAAACCGCCTCGAGTCGCCGGAAGGCTGAAAGGGGCGGTATAGAAATGTACTAAATAAATAAATAATAAATATTAGTATGAAGCAAGACAGTCTGAGAGAGTGACAGACTGATCCAAGGTCACCTAAAGAGTTTCACAACTCACTGAGGATTTCAACATGGATTGAATTAGAAGTCAGCAATTTATATTATTAGCATTTGCTGAAGGAGTAGGTAATTCCCCAAGATAACAAAATCAGACAACAAGCAAGTGCCTTAAAAATTTGAAGACAGTGTTTGCTATTGGATTGGTTTTATTCTTGATAGTAGTAGTAAGTTTATTTATTGTTATACATCAACTATTATGTTATTTTCACCAGTGGTCCATTGACTATGTTACATGTTCTGTTATGGAAAATGTCCTACATACGCCCCTTTGTGTTTCTTCCATAAAGAAGCAGGATAGAAATGAACTAACATCATAATAATGACCCATAGGAGTGTCTAGGACTCTACTGTCTGCTGTAGATTGTGCAGCCTTAGGCACCCCATTCCTTGCATGCTGGATAATTTCACAGGTTGGGTTAATAGGATCAAATCTGCTGTGCAGACCTTGGGTCTCAAGTGTCAGGGCATGTCCAATGACTGAGGACAACAAACAATTTTCGAGCAAGAACAACTTGCTCCAGAAATTCAGTAATCTTCTGCTTAACCTTATTTCTAAATAATGGGCTTTTTTGAAATATGGTGGCAATACTATTGATGCCTTCTCTTTTTCCGTTTTCATTTGCCCCATCTCCATCTCCAGCTGATCTGGCTTGTGACCTTTGTAGCTACCATTTTGCTGAACCTTGACATGGGACTCGGAGTGGCTGTGGTTTTTTCCCTTCTCACTGTCATCTTCCGGACTCAGATGTGAGTATTGCTGTGGGATGAGAGAAAAGAAAAAGTGGATGGAATGCCTGCATGTCTATTAACAATAAGATATGAGCTCATTTGCTTGTTAATAACCTTCCTAACAATCAGAACTCTTCAGTTTAGAAATGGAGATGAGCACCACGCCCCAGAGTTGGACACGACTGGACTTCATGTCAGGGGAAAACCTTTACCTTTAGGGCAGGGGTTCTCAAAAGGTGCTCCGTGGAGCCCTTGGGGCTTTTTGAAGTATACTGAAGGGCTCTATGATTCCCCCCCCCCCTACAATCTTTCCTCTCTCTTTCCTGCTCCCCTCCCTGCCCCTGCCTCCCTCACCTGCAAAAGCCTTTTCACCTTACCTTCCTTGCTTCCAAAACCCTACTTTCCTCTCACTGCTCAGGGGATGCTTTGATTGTGCTATTCCCGCATGGCAGAAGGGAACTGAACTGGATGGCCCCTGAGATTTCTGTTGTTGATGTTGTTGTTACAACAAAGGCTGGGTGGGCATCAGTTGGGGAGTGCTTTGATTGTGCTTTTCCTGCATTATAATACAATATATAAACATCAAAACCTACAAGTCATGATGGCTATTATAACCTTGTATTTCATAAGAAGTGTGTCTTAATATACCAGTTGTGAAAATCAGCAGGTGGGTGCATTTGCACTCAGATACTGCTTGTGAGCCTCCTTTAGGCATATGTTTGGCTACCATGTGAACAAACTACTGGACTAAATAAGCTAGATAGTCTTATGTGACTTGCTAATATGGCTGATTGGAGCTTTTGCTAATCTCTTTGTCTGTTCTCATTTTCTCAAAGGCCCCATTATTCTATTTTGGGGCAAGTGCCTCAGACAGGAATCTACAAAGATGTAGATGAGTATGAGAAGGTAAGTGTATTGTGGAAATAACTAGAGAAGTTGACTGAGGTGGGAATTGTGCAGTAAATGGGTCTGGCATTTGCAAAATGAAGTGCTGTCCCTCATTAAAGCCCCAACCCACATGGAGGACATAGTTACTAAATGGCTACAGCAACTCCGACAGCTTGCTTGCATATTTACTTATTTATTTATTCCTGTAGATATCTCAGTTCTCTCACAAAGTTGGCATGTAAACCAATTTATCCTTCTCAAGCACTTTGATTCTCACTAAGAACAAACTGCATTTTTTTAAAAAAAAATACATTCTGTCAAGTATTATCTCAAATCTATAATCTTTGTCATATAAAAATGTACCCTGGATAAGAGTTCCCCATTAAAGTCAATATATGTCTACATGTACCTACCAGTGGAATGACATCTGCTAGATTAGATTCCTGGGTAAAAGGCTCTTCCAGAAAAAAAAAATGATTTGTGCATATGGAATGTATGGATAAGGAAAGCCAACTGAATTCACTTCACTTACATACTCCCCTGACATGTTTTGATTTCATCATGAACGCCACCATTTTCTGCTGCACTGGAGACTAGTATGCGGAACAATGGCTTCAAACTACAAGAAAAGAAATTCCATCTGAACTTCCTGACTGTGAGAGCTGTTCAGCAGTGGAACTTTTGCCCCGGAGTGTGGTGGAGACTCCTTCCTTGGAGGCTTTTAAACAGAGGCTGGATGGCCATCTGTTGGGGGGTGCTTTGAATGTGATTTTCCTGCTTTTTGGCAGCGGGTTGGACTGGATGGCCCATGAGGTCTCTTCCAACTCTAGGATTGTATGATTCTATGATCATGAACACCATTGTCACATTTGTGTCCTGCCATTGTTGCTCAAAGGTCATGGCATCAAATCTGAGGTCATTCAATTCTTTTCACAAAACTGCTTCTGAAGATGGTTAAACGGAAAACTGGTAATTTGCCTGCAGCCATCCCATTATCTACAGGCTATTTGTACTATGCCACATCCACTCTTTTTCGTTTCTCCTCTACAGGCTGAGGAGATCCCAGGTGTGAAGATTTTTCGCTCATCTGCTACTATCTATTTTGCAAACGCTGCTCTTTATGAAGAGGCTCTAAAGAAAAAGGTAAACGTTTCAAAGGGCTTCTCATGTCTTGTCACATGGTTTCCATACCAGCTGCACTTCACTTCAAAGGAATTTATACCCAAACACCCCCGATTGATTGATATTATTTACATTTAAAACCTGTGTTTCTCCGAGGCAGCATACATGGCTTACCCGCTTTCCACTTTGTCCTCATAATGGCCCAGCATAATAGTCATGCTGAGGAAGGCTGATAGACCATATTTATCCAGTGACAGCCACAATTTGCTAAGATCTCATATCCCAAGTCATAGTCCATTAATTGAATCACTGTACTCACTCTCAAAAATTCAAATATATTACAAAATTGTAATTTTAGGTTAAAGCTGTTGATTGTTTATGTAGGAGAGTACCATTTTTATCTGCAGTTTTCCCCATATCTAAATCACTCACTTTGCCTTTTCTGAAGCTTGCATATTCCTAGGCTGCCAGTAGCTGTCAGGGGACAAGACGGTTGCTTAGGCTGTGGCAAACCTGACCCTGATCTTGGGTATATTATTACTATTTTGTTGAGGGGATGGACTACCACTCTCAGAATCTATCATGTTCACTGCAGGATTCTCGGGCCCCATCTACACTGCCACATAATCCAGTTTCTAATCCCAATTGCCTGTTTTGAACTATATTACATGGTAGTGTAGACTCATGTATTCCAGTTCAAAGCAGACAATCTGGATTCAAAAACCAGATTATATGGCAGTGTAAATCCAACCTGGGAGTTATAATCCAAAAAGTAGCCTTTTAAAGCTCTGCCTATCCCAGTGCAAGTGTTCTGAGCAGATTGAGACATAGAAGTGACTACTTTAATCTTCTTTTTTTCCATTTGAGAGCTAATATTTAAATGTTAGAGTAGAACTTTAGAGGCCAGAGTTCAAATCTCCAGTCAGCCATGAAAACCCACTGAGTGACCCAGAAATCCCTCTGATAGGGTTGCTATAAATCTGAAGGAACACAATAGCAGCAAGAACAATGCTAATATTCAATCCATGAACTGCAGAGCGATTTACAAACAGCCACTATAGCTACAATAAACACAGTGAGAGGCAGTGTAAAAAGGCTTTTTACATTATTGTCTGATGGCTAAACTTCCCTGATAGATAAAAATGTTACTCTAGCTACCAGATGGGCATTCCTAAAATGCGGCATCCAAAGCCAAGAGGCCACAGCCAAATAGGCCCTCTTTTTCACATATTCCCTTTCCTACCCGAAGACCATGGCCCTTGCTGTCATTGTATCATATACAGGTAACATATGGGAAATAAGCAAATAAACCATGTTGTTACAGCTCACAGCTACATTACATTGAGTGCCTGTCTCTTTTGCAGTGTGGCATTGATGTAAATCACCTAATTGAAAAGAAAAAGAAAGCACTGAAGAAGAAGCATAACAGAGACAAAAAGGAAGAGAAGAAAGCAAAGGTGTGCTTTTCTGTTTAAAAGATTGTCTTCTTTGAAATTACAAATCCATTACATTTCTGATAAGTTTCCTATAAATGGTAAATCCATGAACACTCAAAAAGAGAAGAAAAAATAGGTCTAATCCAGTCTCTCCCAGCCTGCTGCCCGGCATATTGAACTACAGCCACCATTATCTCTAGTCCGCATAGCCAGTAACCCACATTTGGGAGCCTGTCTACATCAAGACGAGGATCATGTAGGCTTCAAAATATTGTGGAATTACAATTTTCATTATTCCTCAATACTGGCTGTTCTGGATAGGCTTGATGGGGAATGCATTTCAATTTCAACAACTTCTGTAGGTCCACATGTTCTATATCATGATTTGTTCATGCTTAGGTACAGTAGTAAGGCTTTTCAGAGGTTTGCATGCAGCTATTCAGCCTTGGTTAACAGAGGGTGGAAGGCCTCTATCCTAATTTTATATGTGAGAAATTGAAAATGTTTTTACGCATGGCATGGGTGAAACGTCTTTCTCACTTTTTTCTCTCAAAACTGGAGAGCTAAAGTTTTGGGGGTTTTTTTGTGTCAGGAGCAGCTTGAGAAACTGCAAGTCACTTCTGCTGTGAGAGAATTGTCAGTCTGCAAGGACGTGCCCAGGAGATGCCCAGATGTGTGATGTTTTACCATCCTTGTGGGAAACTTCTCTCATGTCCCCGCATGGGGAGCTGGAGCTGAGAAAGGGAGCTCAACCCACTCTCCCCAGATTCGAACTGCTGGCACAAGGGTTTAACCCATTGCACCACCGGGGGCTCCTAGGCTAAAATTAGAAGCACATTTCACCCATTCTTCTTCTGTTTACCCTTTATTTCTAATCCTATCTGAAGTTCTGAAAAAAATTACAAGAAACACAATTGTAAATTTCCTGTGATTTGTGTCCTGTTTTGTTCTTTCTTTTTTAAACAGAAAATGGCTTCTAAGATCGAAAAGACACACGATCCTAGTATCACTAACCTTGCATTTGTAGATATAGATATGGAAGCAAAGTCACAGGTATTTATCAATTTGGATTTCTAAAAAGTTGTTCAGTAGTTTTACCTTGAACTGTCTGTACCATTGACACAGATACACAGCACACAGCATTTGTACCAGCCATGACAGAAAGAGAAAGAGAAGGATGCACCACAGACTTGATCCATCCATTTCCTTACTTTATCAAATTGTTTGAATTTAACATTTTCCTTCACTATGATTAATTACAGTGACACCTTGTGTGTTGCCTCAGCAGGCAAATACATGGCAGCTAGAAGAATATAGCTAAGGAATACCTATGGTAACTCCAACAGCTTTTTTGCAAGCTGAGTTTTTTCAAAATACCATTTTCTGAGTCATACCATTCTATGATATATTCATCAGTTGATAAGGGAAGATCTTTAGAAGAAGCTCCATCCCCACATGCATCATGTGGGAGACTCTGTGCCATCCTTTCAACAATGTGAGAAATCCTAAGACCAATAAATATTTCTATGGACAAAGATTACTTTCCATTTGTTTCTCACAGGAACCAAGGGGTGACACAACAGTGAATGGGCCTAATGGAAGCATGGATGACCAGAGATCTCAAAACCTCAAGCAGCCACAGTCTTCTGACCAACCTGGATTAACAGCCCTGGGACTGGAAAAGCCTCCCTTTCACTCCATTATATTGGATTTCAGTCCTGTCAACTTTGTGGACACTGTCTCTATAAAGACCCTAAAAAATGTAAGGGCTTATACAAAACAAAAAGCTATTCAAGAAATCCTTTCTGGCCAGTAAAAAAAAAAACAATTACTTACCATTATGTTTCTTGATTTTTGGCAGATATTTAAAGATTTCCAGGAGATTGAAGTGAATGTATTTGTCGTGGGATGCAGTGGTAAGGAGATCTTAGATGGATATGGTCATCCAGGTTGCACTGAGCAAGACTAAACTTTACAGAGTTTGCGCCTTGAATTAGAGACTTATCTTTTCTCAACTTTCCTTCTCAGGCTGGGTCTACACTGCCATATAATGCAGTTTGGAACTTCATTTATATGATCAGCGTAGACTCATATAATGCATTATAGAGAGTAGATTCAGCCTCTTCTTGTCTTTTGTTGTATAATTTTTCAGTCCTACTAAGTGCACCAGAAGACAGTAAATATGATGGAGACAAGTATAAGTCCCAAAAGGCAATGGGAGGCATAGATATTCATGTGAAATCCCCAAACTTGGAAAAGTTCATTATTTGAACTAAACACCATAAATTTAAATCTCTCTCCAAAAATTCTGTCATATTAACAAGAATAAATTCCCTATGAGACAAAAAATGTCAACTGGAGATGATTAAATTCAAATTTTGGTGTGGTGGTGGAGTGGTTTGAGCACTGGACTAGGACTCTGGAGAAAAGAGTTCAAATCCCTGCTTGACCATTGAAACCTGCTGGGTGATCTTGAGTGAGTCCCACTTTCTCAGCTTCAGGAAGAGACAAAGCCTAATCCACTCTAAACAACTCTTGCCAAGAAAACTCCATGATGGGGTCACAATAAGTAAGAAATTACTTGAAGCACATGAAGTAGTTAAATTAAGGATTTATTGCCTACTCCCAGCATGGCAATTCCCAATCTTCAAAACAAATGCTATAAAAGGAGAGGGGATATCCTAATTGCATCTAGCTTGGCTCTAAATCTGGTTTGGCTAACTTGTTGCCCTGTCTGCTTTGTTGGATGACAACCCCCATCAGACTTAGCCAACATAGCCAATGAGGAGGGCTGATGAGAGTTGCAGCTCACCAACTTTTACAAGGCTACACCTTACCCATCTGTGCCATAAATTATCAGCACATGTCATTCATTTCATATACTTAAGGGATATGTGTCCCCCCCTTAGATGATTGACTGCAACTCCTGGGAGTCAGCATGATGGGATCATGGAAATTACAAAAAGTAGAAAAACACAATTGTCCACCTCTGATTTAATGTATGCTCCATTCTCAAGGTGTTCAAGGCAACCACGCAGCCTGCAGTTGGGAGACAGAGCTTTGATCTGATTATGCCAAGAAATTTGTATATTTTTTTTACTCTAGAAAATGTATTTCAATGATGGATTAGGGTGCTAGGAGGTTGTGGGGTCCCTCAAAATGGTCAATTTAGTTGAGAACGTAATACAATACTCTTGTGTAACTGCTGGTCCTTACTTCTTTTCTTTGTAGCTTCTGTCATTTCCCAGCTGGAAAAAGGCAACTTTTTCAGTCAAAACATCACCAAGCACCACCTTTTCGCATCACTGCACCACGCTGTTACTTATATCACCAGAAACCAGGAAGAAGAATTACCACCAACTGACAAAGTAAGCAATTGGTCTCTTTGTTCTATGCCTTGAAAATCCTATTTTTAGATATATCATTGGACTCATCCACATATGTTTGTATGTATGAACTCATCCACATATGCGGATCATGTAACTATTTGTACCGCACGTATGCCCTTTTGAATCCATAGGCTTGGGCTATTGGTCTTAGCATACATATTGTCACAACTGATGCCATTTGCTTTTCTCTGTAGTGCTGTATCTTATCTTGTGTACCCATCCACCTCCCCATTAGAGCTGTAGGCATTTAATTATCATATCTAGATAGAGCTGATGTTCAGCTTATGCAAAATAAGAAGTGCACAGTCCACATATGTTCTCCTTTATGAACTCACTTAGAAAAGCCATCATTTTATGGAATCAGTCCCTACCCTGTATCTGCAGAATGGTGCTAAAACTCTTAATTGCTGTAAGCTTTATTAAATGTAAAGATAGCTATATCACTATCTTTGTAGTCATGCCACTCACCAGATACTGGGACCTTGATATTTACTGAGGTGGACACAATGTTTGGATGCTGAGCTTGTGTCTATTGAAGGAAGTAAGCATTCTAACCACACCAGAAAAAGAAAGTTTAACTTTGTTGTTTCTCTTTTGAGAGGGGTGTATCAAAAGGAAAATAATACACTGGTATCTTATCTCATACATCATTTTTTAAATTCCTGGAGCTAGTTTCATGGTTGTGGATGCATTGGCAGCCACTAGGGAGATATTTGGCTCCTGCTTTGAAATAAAGGACAAGAAATAACCCTTTGTAGGGAAGAAGCAGAATGGAAGTAAAGCCTAAGAATTTCATGGGGAGATGCCTGAGTCATAGCTACGTTTCTCTCTATAAAGCCCATAGGTTCAGATTTGGTGTTCAACCCCCAACACAGTATCTGTGGGCTTTTGACAAAAATACAGTAGTAAATAGTAAAGAAGTGACATACTTACAGAGAATACTGTAAAGATAGGGGAGTTATATTTATAGCACTTAAATGTTGCTTACATTAGTCATGCTGCTGGTATCTGATTGAGAGATAGAAGTTTATTGGAAAACAGACTTTGGAAGATTCAGTATCTAGCTGTCTCAGAGAAATGGGCACCTTAGGTGGTGAACAAGAAATCCAAGAAATATATCGAGCCAATCTGAGGTGCTCCCAGAAAAAACTAATGCTAATATATGTATCTTTCACCTTCATAGGTCAAACCTAGCACAAAACTGTAATTGGTGGAATTGTCTGCTCCTTTGTTTCTCGATGAAGAACAGGAAACATCCCTGCATTTTTTCAGAAGACGGACAAAATTTATATTTTGTGATTGTTGGTACAATTAAATAATGTAGGGTTTCCTACCATTGTGAATCCACTGGAGAAAGGGGGGAAAAATCCATCAAAGCCACCTTAAGATGGCTTTCCTTTAGACTGCAGAGAAACTAAGAATGTATAATTGCTGGACGGATGTTATTCCATGTGTTTATGAGCACAGATTACTCATGTCCTCCTGTGAACAGACTGTGGGGCACCAATTGTTCCTGCCATGGAAGAATTCATTTCAGACATCGGAAGCATCTCATTTGCTCCTGCAGCATCTTCCCAGAAGAGGACTTCCCACTTACTACACTTCTATTTGATTAGAGAAAATTACGATCAACATCCTCTATCTATGGGAAAGTCCCCCTCAGTGTGGAAAGACAGAAGAACCAGATTATGTCCTCCTGAGAACATCCACTCCACACTTATTTCTTATGCTGGAATTTTCCAATATTTGAACTATAAGGGAATCTGTGGACCTCATCAGGTGGGCCAAATTGCCTATCCTATGACGGTCCTACTCTACTTGTGCAACAGAGCCTGACGATTCCCATCCCACAATGTCAAACTACTTTCAGCAGAGCTCCGTGGGACAAGTAGAGTAAGAATGTTGTATGCTACCACCACAGCAACTCAAAAGACTACCCATGTTGCATAGCTAACAACAGGGAAGACCAGCAGAGGATGCTTCCCCAGATGGGACGGGGTAAAGGAGAAGCCTGGGTTCCCCATGCCTCATGTTGGATTTGCCACATGGGTATTTGCCTCCGTGGTGCAAATAGAGTAAGAATGTTGTATGCTGCCACCGCAGCAACTGAGAAGACTACCCATGTTGAATAGCCAACAACAGGGGGGGAAACTAGCATAAGATGCTTCCCCACATGGGATGGGGTAAAGGAGAAGCCTGGGTTCCCCACACCCCACGTTGGATTTGCCACAATACATGGCGAATTCCATAGATGATGTGATGAGGTCATAAGAAGAACATCATACTGGATTAGCTTGACAAATTATCAAGTCCAACAGTGCACCCTCCATCTTACACTGTCCAGACACTAAAGTCCCATCTACACTGACTGTTTAATGCAGTTCTAAGCAGCTTCAGGTTCTGTCACCCAAACAACAAATTCCCACAAAGTTTATGAAAGAAAGGCCTTAATGTGCATCAGTGTTCTGTGGTTTGTTTACTCACTACCCAGGCCTCCGGTGTACTCATCTGCACAGTGAAAGCACTTCCTTCAATAATATTTGGAAACTGCATTAAATGGTCAGTGTAGATGGGGTTTTAGAGTGGGATTTTAGAACCTTGAAATGGAAAGCATTCTGTTTACACTCCAGAGTAGGTGTGTGCCTCCCCATGTCTGGATACAGAAAAACATGGATATGTATGTAGCGTCTCTAATGCAATCTCTGGCATCTCACTGAGATACAGCAAAAAGAAAGACAAGATGCAGAATATTTTTTCTTTAAAATGTATATAGGTATTGAAATCATAAATGAATAGAACACTGATGCAAAAAAAAAAGACTTCATCAGCAAGTATCCCATTAAAAATGGAGGGCTGTGAATTCATTTCAGACAGAATTCTATACGTCAGACATTCTTGTCCATTCTGCATGCTGTGTAAATTAAACTGTGTGAGACTAGCATCTGGCACATATTTGAATTTAATTCTACTTTGGGAATTGCCACAGTCCATCCTGAGACTGTGGCCCCCCAGCTGTTTGGGCCTCCAACTCCCGGAATTCCTGATCATTGAACAAACTGGCAAGGACTTCTGGGATTTGGAGGCCCAAACAGCTGGAGGGCTACAGTTTGAGGATGTCAATGATTGTAGAGTCATGATCCTGAAAGTCAAGGTAGGAGTTGTAAATATGAACAGATATTATGCAGTTAAACAAAGAAATGTTTGTCTTACATTATTATTTATTGTCAATAAAATTATGTTTTAATCATAGACCTGTTCTACATGTTCTGTGATCTGCCTTATATCCCATGTTGGGAAAAAGGCAGGAAATAAATAAAGCAAAATTTTAATTCTGCAGATGGGTAACTCACAACTGTGCAACCTAATAAATATTTTACTTACTTGTCAAGTTATTTCCAATACAATAATTAACAGAAAAATAAACTTCGATATTAAAATACTAAATCCTCTTATATGAATCATGCTTTCAATTTAGAATTGCAGATTGCTTTAAACTTGTAATTACACATTGGTTCCTATGTTATCAAAGAGAAGTGGAACCAACTAACCTGCATGTTGTATAAAAGGTAGCATTAGACCCATACATAAATTTTATAAAGTAAAGGTAAAGGTTTTCCCTTGACATTAAATCTAGTTGAGTCTGACCCTGGGGGTTGGTGCTCATCTCCATTTTTAAGCTGAAGTGTCAGCGTTGTCCGTAGATGCCTCCAAGGTCAAGTGGCCGGCATGATTGCATGGAGCGATGTTACCTGCCAAAGTGATGCCTATTAATGTACTCACATTTGCATGTTTTTGAACTGCTAAGTTGGCAGAAACTGGGGCTAACAACAACTCACCCTGTTCTGTGGATTCGAACCGCCGACCTTCCGGTCAGCAAGTTCTGTAGTTTAGCGGCTTAACCTGCTGTGCTACTGCAGCCTCAATTTTATATATTGGTAAAATTCAGTAAACATGGTCTATCAAACTGTGATTTGGATCATTATTTTGTAACTTTCGCTCACGTAAAGGGCTTCCTATAAAAAGATGCACACCAGGGGGTTGGCAACCCTAAATTGCACTATGTAACACGATTTTTGTTCCTGGATTATAAATGTCATTTCCTAATTGGTTCTATAATAAAAACATGGGGAAAACACATTAAACTGCAAAAACTTTGCTTTTGAGAGACATCCAGCAGCACATTTTGCTACAGTTTTCAATGAATATCTCATAGAGTCTCAACCAACTCAACATAGTTTGTGGCAGCCAGAAAAACAAAGGTTTCGGAGTATAACAACTATGTTCAAAGTAAGTACTGCACAATTAATCAGGAAATAACACTTTCAAACTAGGAACAGAAACATTTTCAAACGTTGTTACATAATGTAACTGCTTGGTTGAAGGTGGTGCCTGTCGACTTATGAATTTCATGAGATTTTCATGAATTTCATTGGAGGGTTGTTGTAGGTTTATTATTATTATTATTATTATTATTATTATTAACTTTATTTATACCCCGCAAAATCTCCCGAAGGACTCGATGCGGCTTACAAAGGCCAAGGCTGCCAACAAACAACAACATACAATACACAATAAAACTCATAAGCAAATAATAAAACATCAAGCAAAACAATAGAACAGTAAAACATTGACACCGTGACGCAATTAAAAACCTAAAGGCCGGGCCAAATGTAATGGACAAAATTTAAAAGTGCTGGACTTGACAGGTAGTATGTAGAGGTATTTGGAGGTAGGTGCAATGTGCAGATAATCCTGAATCTCTAACAAAGTGCGTTTGGGACTTGATGCCCGGAGTTTCCTATTCTGGAAAGGCACACTGGAACAGCCAGGTCTTCAGGCCAACGTTGGGGCTTGTCTGATATCCTTGGGGAGAGAGTTTCAGAGTCGGGGGGGCCACCACAGAAAAGGCCCTGTCCCTTGTCCCCACCAAACGCGCCTGCAACGCAGGTGGGATCATGAGCAGGGCCTCTCCAGATGATCGGCGGGAACACATGGGTTCACATATGGAGATGCGGTCACGCAGGTAGGCGGGTCCCAAACCGTTTAGGGCTTTGTAGGTAAGCACCTGAACCTTGAATTGGGACCAGAAGATGAACGGCAGCCAATGGAGCTCCTTAAACAGGAGGGTTCACTTCTCTCTGTAAGGCAAGCATAGATGTAGGCGAAATGTCAGGAAAGAATGCTTCTAGAACATGGCCATATAGCCCAAAAACCTACAACCACCCAATGATTCCAGCCATGACAGCCTTCGACAATACAATTTCATTGGATTTTCATGAATTTCATTGGGTTTTCTTGGACAAGGAATACGCAGTGATGATTTGTCTGGTTCCTTCTGAGGTGTGGGTGACCGAGAAAATCCCAGCAGACTTCAAGGATGCCACCATCATCACCCTCTTCAAAAAAGGGGAAAGAACAGACTGCGGAAACTATCGAGGTATCTCCCTTCTAACCTCCGCTGGGAAAACCCTCGCAAGAATCCTTGCAAACCGCCTTCTGCCCCTCTCAGAAGACACCCTCCCAGAATCCCAGAACGGCTTCCGCCCCTCCAGAGGAACCGTGGACATGATCTTCACTGCACGACAGCTCCAAGAAAAATGCAGGGAACAAAACCAACCTCTGTACATGGCATTCATCGACCTTGCAAAGGCATTCGACACAGTGAATCGCAGCGCTCTCTGGACCATCCTCCAAAAAATCGGGTGCCCAAGCAAATTTGTGAACATCCTGCGGCTCCTCCATGATGACATGATGGCAACAGTCTTGGACAGCAGTGGCTCCCAAAGTGACCCATTTAAGGTGGAATCAGGTGTCAAACAGGGATGCGTTATTGCCCCAACTCTATTCTCCATCTTCATCGCTATGATACTTCACCTTGTTGATGGGAAGCTTCCCACCGGAGTGGAAATCATCTATCGGACAGATGGCAAGCTATTCAACCTCAGCAGACTGAAAGCCAAAACCAAGGTTACAACAACATCTGTTATAGAACTCCAGTATGCTGATGACAACGTCGTCTGTGCGCATTCAGAAGAAGATCTACAAGCCACTCTAAACACCTTCGCAGAAGCATACGAGAAGCTCGGCCTGTCATTGAACATTGAAAAACCAAGGTGCTGTTCCAGCAGTCACCAGCCAATCCCTCTCCAATGCCAGTGATACAGCTTAATGGTGTAACATTAGAAAATGTTGATCATTTCCGCTACCTTGGCAGCCACCTCTCCACCAAAGTCAACATTGACGCCGAAATACAACACCGCCTGAGCTCTGCAAGTGCAGCATTTTCCAGAATGAAGCAGAGAGTGTTTGAGGACCGGGACATCCGTAGGGAGACCAAGGTGCTCGTCTATAAAGCTATTGTCCTCCCAACCCTGCTCTATGCCTGTGAGACGTGGACTGTCTACAGACGTCACATGCAGCTCCTGGAACGTTTCCATCAGCGCTGCCTCCGGAAAATCCTGCAAATCTCCTGGGAAGACAAGCGGACAAACGTCAGTGTGCTGGAAGAAGCAAAGACCACCAGCATTGAAGCGATGGTCCTCCTAACATCAACTCCGCTGGGCCGGCCACGTTGTCCGGATGCCTGACCACCGTCTCCCAAAGCAGTTGCTCTACTCCGAACTTAAGAACGGAAAACGGAACGTTGGTGGACAGGAAAAGAGATTTAAAGATGGGCTCAAAGCCAACCTTAAAAACTCTGGCATAGACACTGAGAACTGGGAAGCCCTGGCCCTTGAGCGCTCCAGCTGGAGGACAGCTGTGACCAGCAGTGCTGCAGAATTTGAGGAGGCACAAGTGGAGGGTGAAAGAGTGAAACGTGCCAGGAGGAAGGCGCGTCAAGCCAACCCCGACCGGGACCACCTTCCACCTGGAAACCAATGCCCTCACTGCGGAAGAAGATGCAGAGCAAGAATAGGGCTCCACAGCCACATACGGACCCACAAGAAATCCATAATGGAAGACCATCTTACTCGTCCAACGAGGGATCGCCTAAGTAAGTAAGTAAGTAAGTAAGGTTCCTTCTGAAATATAGCCTACAGCATCTTCAATTCATTGGTGGTCTCCCATCCAAGTAGTATCCAGGAATGACCTAGCTTAGCATATGAGCAAGCTTGTTTTCTGATTCCCTGGAGACTAGGACGCGGAACAATGGCTTCAAACTCCAAGAAAGGAGATTCCATCTGAACATGAGGAAGAACTTTCTGGCTGTGAGAGCCATTCAGCAGTGGAACTCTCTGCCCTGGAGTGTGGTGGAGGTTCCTTCTTTGGAAGCTGGATGGCCATCTGTCAGGGGTGATTTGAATGCAATATTCCTGCTTCTTGGCAGAATGGGGTTGGACTGGCTGGCCCATGAGGTCTCTTCCAACTCTTTGATTCTATGATTCTATGACATCTCATCATGCGAAATGCATTGAGCAAACCGCCGTTAGAAAGCAACATATAGCGAATGTCAGTGGGTTGCTGTGAGTTTTCCGGGCTGTATAGTGAATGTCAGCTTTCAAATGTTACCGGAAGTTTAGTTACCGTACTAGTCGCTTTTATCTCTATGCAGGGCTATGAGAACAAGGATCATAGTTGCCTTCCTCTTTCAAGCCTCTGTGGATGGCTGCGCCTGCTTCTTGCGCATGCGCTTCTCTGGCACGGCCCCCCCCCCCGGTGCTCTCCTTTCTGCGCATGCGCTGTGCTTCTTCCTCCCGTCAAGCAAGATGGCGGCGTCCTCTGTCTGCCGGGTCGCGGGTTGCGTGGCCAAAAGGGGCCTTTTGCGCGGGCCTCGCGCGCCGGTGAGTGGGCTTCTGCGCGGGGAGGGAGCGGGAGGCGGCCGGTGGGCGGGAACGGGAAGGTGGAGACGTCTGTATCTATACTATGAGGAGGTGGGACGGCTGCGCCACCCACGAAGGTCACGGCGAAGGAGGCTTGGCCCAGCCGCCGCCAGGCAGGGCAGCAAATCCGGAATCAAGGCCGGGGCCCAGTGGCCTGGGCTGAAGAAGAATCCACAGGTCTCCTTGAGCTCTGGCCGCAGCTGCTGAGCAGGCTCGTTGCCTCCTTCCTGGGTTGGCCATGATTGTCCTTTGCAGGTACAGATAATGATTGTGCTGTTAGGAATGGTGGGAGTTGAAGTCCAAAACACCCTGAGGGCCCAAGTTGGTCCATGTCTGAGATAGATACATAGGGTATATACTGCCTAAGCTATCTATCAATCTATCTATTGCATATACAGGCATTCCCCAAATTTCGAACAAGATAGGTTTTGTAGGTTTGTTCGTAAGTTGTTGTTTTTTTTGTCGTGTCAGGAGTGACTTGAGAAACTGCAAGTCGCTTCTGGTGTGAGAGAATTGGCTTTCTGTAAGGACATTGCCCAGGGGACGCCCGGATGAGTTGATGTTTTTATCATCCTTATGGGAGGCATCTCTCATGTCCCCACATGAGGAGCTGGAGCTGATAGAGGGAGCTCATCTGCCTCTCCCCGGATTTGAACCTGCGACCTGTGGGTCTTCAGTCCTGCCCGCACAGGGGTTTAACCCACTGCGCCACCAGGGGCTCCAGAGTTCGTAAGTTGAATGCATATGTAATAATATAATAATAAATCTTTATTCATATCATCCCCAAAAAGGGATGCAGTATGAAATCAACAGCAGTTAAACACATATATAACACATGAACCATCAATAAAATATAAACATTAAAAAACATTTTAAAAACATGTAAGTTGGAACAGGCAATTTTTTTAAAGTGTAACTTCATATATATGAAGTTGGAGACTAGGATGCGGAGACTTCCTTGGAGACTAGGACGCGGAACAATGGCTTCAAACTACAAGAGAGGAGATTCCATCTGAACATTAGGAAGAACTTCCTGACTGTGAGAGCCGTTCAGCAGTGGAACTCTCTGCCCCGGAGTGTGGTGGAGGCTCCTTCTTTGGAAGCTTTTAAGCAGAGGCTGGATGGCCATTTGTCAGGGGTGATTTGAATGCAATATTCCTGCTTCTTGGCAGGGGGTTAGACTGGATGACCCATGAGGTCTCTTCCAACTCTTTGATTCTATGATTCTATATATACACACACATATAAATAAAAGCAAGCTTTGGATATCATAAGGAAGGGTTATGTGGTGTTTGTTTTGCTGTCCGTGCCCCCTATTCATAAGATTTCACTTCACTTTCTCTTACTGTGAGGATCGGATTTTGAAAAATATGGCTTGTTGTAAAACAAGGATTGGTAATACAGCTTCAGTGGAGACATCTTTTCCCCATGATTATGTTGATGCTGATAATCTTTATTTATAACTCGTCCTATCTATCCGAAGGGACTAAAGACTGTTTCTAAACAAAAAAGTGGCAAACATTCAATGCCATAATGAAAACAAACACCAAATCAAACCAATAAATAAACAACATCAATATAAACTTTTAATGACTAACCAATAAGTAAATAAATTAGAAACAAAATAAATTAGTTTAAAGGCTTAATAAAATCTCATCAAACACATTTACTTTGTAATAAAATCTGACCACTAAAATGCATTAAAGTGTAAAATGGTTTATAGCCATCAATAGATTACTCCTCCGGGAGTGAATTTCCCTTCCAAGGGAAAGATTTCTCTCACTTCTTGTTGTCTCTCCCCCGTTCTTACCTAGACATATGTAAGTTGTCTGTCTGTAACTCGGGAACTGCCTGTACTTCTGTGGAAATACTTGGAGACAGTATAATAAAATAATATAATACAACTTTATTTATATCCCACACCTATCTCCGTGAGGGGTCTCAGAGTGGTTTCCAATAAAAGATTGGCAAACAAAAACAAATAAACAGCCCAAACAAATCACAGAAATCCACATATAACATAAAATTATAATACATAATCAAAAATTAAATAATAAACATAACAGATCCATTACTTCACATCTAACATTAAAACACAACACAATTCTAACCAAATATCAGAATGCATTTAAAATATTCAAATTTTATGCAGCCAACAATATGTTATTGAATTCCCTAAATATTCCAACCACACAGCTACTGGCTAAGAGTTGCAGTCTCCCACCTAAGAAATTTCCCTAAACATTGGATACACCTATTGTTGCTGTAAATTCTACCTTTGGGCATTTCAAAACATTATTGGACCCTGTTCCTCAGATACTACTAGGCAAAATTATAGCCATGCATGACAATCATCCCGTATCTGGAATTTTGAACTCTCAAACAATTTAAACCATGTGAATGATGTTCAAGAACTCAGTGATGGAAACATTTGAAGACAGGTGGCCAATGTCCACAGTTGTTTCTTTTTGATTTGTCAAACTCTGTAGCCCACAGGTAATATCATGTGGTCGTACAACGCCAATGCAATGAAACATCTGTCATTCATCTCTGTAGCAATCAATACTCCTCCTGTGGGGCACTTCTCAGTCCTCTGGGTTTAGTTTTAGGGATGACTGGGGTCTGCACTGTGGACAGTATATTGCTTTTTTCCCATTTGCATTGAATAGGACTGGTTCATCAATGTGGGATACTTTCCTATAGATGGTTCCAGTATTATCTAACATTATGGATGTTCTTTTTTGTGCATCTCAGGCTGCTCTGGCAATTCATACTCTCTTTCTTACAGTTTCAGAGCATGTTTTTAATTCAGTTAGGTTTTAAGATTTTGAAGCTTTAGAGTTAGCATCTTGACGATTTTTGTCATGTAGTTTTTGATTTCTTGTGCATGCGTGTTTTACCCAGCAGATTATTCTTGAAGGTCATTGTGGTTTTTTTCTGTTTAATTTTTTGAAAATTAAGTTGATGCATATATCTATGGCTAAGCTACATTGGTTTTAAGTTAATAAATTCCTATATATTTGTGTTCTATTTTAATAGGACCAGACCTATGTTGTATGTTGTGTTTGCACTGTCTGTTTTTGATAAGGCCAACTGGCTAATCAATAAAAATTGTTGTTGTTGTTGTTGTCTTGAAAATTCAAATTTGAACATTGATATAAGATTGATCATTGCTGTCCATCACATGGTGACTGTAATTTCTTACATTTTAATGAATATTTTATTAAGTTAATGGGCCTTTGATGTCTTATGAATTGTTTATATACAAGTATATTGGTACAGCTTTTAAGAGGATACATTTTGTGCATCTGAAATGTTTTATTAACTGGTTTGTCAATGGATATTTCTTTAGCCAGCCTTATGGAGTTTGACAAGAAGTGGAAGTACTGCAACGTACGCCCAAGTTCTGCATAACCTTCCTGAAACACAAGTCACTACCTTAGACAATGGTCTTCGCATAGCGTCTGAACACTCCGACCAGCCAACTTGTACAGTGAGTTTAATGTGATTTATTGAAAGGTTTTCAATTCTCTGTCTCATATAGCTCTATGTTTACTTAGTCTGATATTCTGATTAAAATATACAGCCTGCCATAGTTCCAAGGTAGAAAACAGTTTTTAAAACTAAGAGAAAAAATTCTAACATATAATTAGCTCATCAAGGATTCCTTAATAAGAGGACCAAAATGGGAGGCTAATTTTGTTGGAAGGTCCATCATTAATTATCTCTCCTTCCAGTGTACAGTTGAATGTATTATAAGGTTAATTTGCAATTTAGGAAAGGCTGTAAGAGGCCTAACAAGATAGGTGAATGTCCCATGTCATCCTTTGTACATATGAAAATATGGTCTCAAATCTTCTGTAATGCATACCTTCTCAGTAGACATGCCACTGTGGGGGAGTTCCCTCTATGCAGAATGCCTAAAAAGCTCTAATCTAAGGTATCTATTTATCTATTAAAATGAAATATAGAAAGAGATCTTGCAGATCCTTGAATGTGTTTGAAATTTATGGATAGCAATGCAGATTCCGAAGTATACTGGGCTTTTGACACCTTGTTTGAAGGTTGAATAGTCCAACCATAAGTGGCTGTGTCATTAGATTGTGTAGTGATAGTATCTCTTCAGAGAATAAGTTTGCATGCTGAAGCAGACCTAACCAAAAACGAAAATAATATTCCCTAAATACTCCGATAAAGACACTGAGTGAATCCTAAAGAGCAGAGAAAATAACAAATCAGACCAGAAGAAATAAAAAGAATATTTTGTTACAGTTGCAGATCTCAACACTTTAGGAATTTTTAGTTCTTTGTGAATGCCACTTGCTTCTTCCTTCAGGATAAAAGTAGGAGGAACTAAAAATATCCAATGAACTTCAAAATGTATAAAAGATTTTATTACTCAAAATAGCCCAATGTTTTTCAGCCCAGAAATACCTGTATAGCCTTTTTCAGGAGGAAGCAGGATAAAAAAAATCATCTTGCTGTGTTCCTATAGCTTATGCCCCACTATCATATAGTAGAAGCTCCATATGACCTCTTGTAATGTTTTTGTACAGTAAAATATTTTCCATTAAAATGATCTAACATGGATTATATTTAATATGTGTTTCTTTTTTGTCAGGTAGGGGTATGGATTGGGGTAGGAAGTCGCTATGAAAATGAAAATAATAATGGCACGTGCAACTTTGTGGACCATATGGCTTTCAAGGTGAGACAACAAGCTATTTCCTTCTTGATGTAGTCATTGTTTTTGCCTTGTCTTTCATGGGCTAAATATTTTCACAGACAGTTACATAGGAGCAGCTAGTATTCATGTTGGAGTCATGTTTTAAATTAATATATATTAGAAACAGATGTTTTTATTAAATTTTGATTTCTAAAGTTTAACACTTAATGATAGTTTTATGAAAGTGGAGTAGATGGGCAAATTAACAGTTTGTTTTTCATGCAATCTGAGAAGAGTCACGCGTAGCACTGCTTTAGTATTTCATTAGTTGCCTAGAGTCCCGATAGGGAGAAAAGTGGGATCTAAATAAAGTTAATAGATAATAAATATTCGTGCCACAAACATTTACTATGCTCCTTGGTACTCATCTGTTTGTTTCTCAATATTTCTCTAGGGCACAAAGAAACGCCCTGGTGCTGAATTTGAAAAAGAAGTGGAAAGCATGGGTGCCCATCTCAATAGCTACACCTCTCGTGAACAGACAGCCTTCTTCATGAAAGCTTTAGCAAAAGATTTGCCCAAAGGTAGTGTCTCTGGGGTGTGTTCCTCAACATTTGTACATTTGGCAGAGGTGGGCTTGGGTTTTTTGCATGCCTGTAGAACTTTGATATGGGATAAAATTGCAGCCCAGATGGGTGTTTGCCAAAGATAAATTTTAACTGTACATTGACATGAAATGATGTCCTAAATTGAAGCCAATTTTAGCTATTAGGAAGCAATTTTCCACTTAATAGCAATACATTATTATTATTATATTATTATAACTTTATTTGTACCCCGCTAGCATCTCCCGAAGGATTCGATGCGGCTCACAATAGGCCGAAGCCCAACACAATACAACAATACAATATCTAACACATTATAGCACATTATACACTTGATTAGTTCTTGGTAGCCTATGCCTTCCGTCTTTCAGATCATTATGAATGATATTTGACTAACTGCTTTATAACTTTTGCTGAAGTTGCTTTCTCTGTGCTAATTTATGTGTGCATGTTTTTAAATGTTTTTGAATGTGTTTGATTTTTATGGCAGTGAATGTTTGCCATGTTATTGTGTTGTATTTGGAAGCTGCTCTGAGTCCCTTTGGGGAGAGAGGTGTGGGTTAGAAATACATTTTTTTAATTTATTATTATTTTACTGACACAAAAACATGGTATGTCACAGCAAACTAGATGTATATGCTTGAATTCATATCACAAAATCACAAGTCGAACACTTCCCAAGCGTTTAGGACTGTGATGGATTTTCGAATGATGGGCTCAGATCCAAGTAAGGTGGCCTTTTGCAGTTGACAGATTGTGATTTTGTCAGTGTTTATTGTTTCCAAATGCTGGTTGAGATCTTTTGGCACAGCACCCAGTGTGCCGATTACCACTGGGATCACCTGTACTGGTTTATGCCAGAGTCTTTGCAGTTTGATTTTAAGGTCCTGATAATGGCTGAGTTTTTCCTGTTTTTCCTCAGTGCAACTTACTATTATGCTTTGGGCTCTACTGGGAAGAGGCAGTTGCTTTCCAATGACAAAACTGGGCAAAATAATTGTATTGATTATCAAATTTATGCTGCTGTAACAGGAATCGCATTAAATGGTGAGATAATGATTGGAATTCCGAGATTATGATTGGAAAAAAATCATTTCGGGAAACTGGTAGCATAGGCTGCAGTGGTGGTTGTTTTTATAATTTTTATGTGATATTGTTTTATACTCATGTACCGTTTATGTTATGCTGCACCTTGGAGTGCCTTATAAGCTGCCCCGAGTCCCTTTTGGGAGATGGTGATGGGATATAAATAAAGTTTATTATTATAAAGTTATTATTACAATAACCACAAAAGGAGAGGGGGAGAAAGGGGTGGTGGAGAGATGTGTTTTTGTGAAGAAGAAAAAAGGCACAGACCCATTGTGGTCATTGCCAGAAAAGAAAGCTGAAGAGAACAAGTAGCCTATTCCTTCAATCATAAATTGTAGTGGATGGAGTTGTTATGTATTCGTAAGTACCATAACAAGACTGGCTTATAAAACTCTCTGGATTCGCCAAGAAGCCTTCTAGAAGGCTAGCATTGAAGAAATAGGCTGCTTATCTCTCAATGCCAGCAACATCCTTCAGGGTACTAAAAACTGATGAAAAGAACAATGTGCCTTTTGGAGAACTTCCTTCAATTATATAGAATCATAGAGTTGGAAGAGACCTCGTGGGCCATCCAGTCCAATCCTGTGCCAAGAAGCAGGAAAATCGCATTCAAAACACCCTTGACAGGTGGCCATCCATCCTCTGTTTAAAAGCCCCCAAAGAAGGAGCGTCCACCATACTCCAGGGCAGAATTCTGGTCTCATGGGAAAATAGGAATGAAGTCAGCTGTATAGCAGTGTTGTGATTCCTCAATGGTGCTTCTTTATGGGGTGGAAGTTCCTTTCTCACCCAGCAATATCAAGTTAACTTCCCCAAGTTATTTGCATGAGAAAAAGTTCCTTAAAAGCATGCCTTCTTTTCTTTTTTAGCCATTGAGATTTTGGCTGATGTAGTACAGAACTGCAGTCTGGAAGAATCTCAGATTGAGAAGGAGAGGAACGTCATCCTTCAGGAAATGAAAGAAATGGATGCCTGCTTGTCTGATGTGGTCTTTGATTATCTTCACGCTACAGCTTACCAAGGCACTGCTTTGAGTCGAACCGTTGAAGGAACATCAGCAAATGCAAAGTAAGATTGGAATTTCTCTGTTTTGAAGCACATCTAGAATTGTTTTTTCATCATGGTTAAGTATATTTTACCAAGATGTTATATTTAAATATATAATTTGAACTACGTTTGCATGTGTGTATTGTTAGATAACATATAAAAGGCTTTGACCATGGTGGCAAACAAATAAGAACAATGAAGTCTTTATTTGCATGGGAAACATTATTTTACATCTGCTGTTACAGCACAGAATATACACTGGAAGAATATTGCTTTTCCTAATTTTTGTTTGTTTCCATACAAATGTTTATTTTAAAAAGAGCATGAACAAAGATACTATTTTAATCTGCTTCTGAGGAAACTAATCTGTAGCAAACATGGCTCATACTAATCAGGTTCAGGTAAATTATATCTCATGTTTAAGGAAAGTTGAGAAGCAGAAGGACAATTCATTGTTTGTATTCACAAATGTAATCAAAAGATTTTATAGTAAATGGTTGAAAGGTAATCTATTAAATTTAGCAAAAATGTTTGCAGCTTGCAGTAATTCATTGCTAGAATCTTACCAAAATCTCGCTGTTTAAAATGTATTTATTTACTTACTTCGTGGTCTTTATTTGCTCATAGTTTCTGTTTCCGATTGGGCACTGATTGGGCACTGAAGGTAAAGAATATTAGCTTGTCAAATATTGCCCTCCTATCCTGTTGGCTACTTAGTGATCCAAATTGGTGTTTGTCAAGTTCCAGACCAATACACTTGTTCTCATGTTTTTTCTTCAGAGGAATTGAACACATGACATTTGATTTCAGCAAGGACATATTTTAAAAGATGATTGGTGAGCTAGCAGGCTGCTTAACATAAGTTTTAGAACACTCTTCACCATGTTGGTAGTAGTGTAATGATTCCTGTTTGGTGCCCACTAGCCCAAAACTATGTCACAAATTATCATCAGTTCAGAACTATTCCAAAAGATACAGTGAGACAGGCCTAGTTTGTACTTGGATGGGAGTCCACCAGGGATCTTCAGGGAAAGCTAGGAACAAGCCCTGTCTAAAATCCTGCAAAACAGCTGCTTGTCAGGGTTGACGTCACTGGGACAGAGAGACTAGTGGTCTGATTCAGCACAAAACTGCTTGCTATGTTCCTGTTTGTAGTTGAGCTGAGGTCCAGATGGGAAATGATCCCAATTTGTTAGCTGTTGCAGCATTCTAACTTCTGTTTAAATCCTTAAGAGAGGGAATTGTTGTGACAAAAAGCTAAGAAGGCTGAATTTGTTTTGTTCATATTAAAAATATGTGGAGACACTTGTTAACGACACTGCTCGAGGAGTTGTTTTATTACCTGTCATGCTACAAAACCTATTCCATCCTTTTCTTATATTGTTGATTTTTATTACCATTTTTACTTTATGTCTTTAGACGTTTGACACGTACAAACCTAGTGGAATTCACTGAGACTCATTTCAAAGCTCCTCGTATGGTCCTGGCAGCTGCTGGAGGTTAGTATTAATTCAATGGTAAAAGTAATTCATCCTTCTTAGATTGGGATTACATGGCTGTGTGCCCATGACCATATGATCTTTACAGATGGCAAAACCTTTTGAGTTAGATCATCAGATTAAAAAGTGGCTATTCACCGGGAGAAACAAATAACATCTTCTAAGGGCACTTTTAGTTATTTTGTTCCACTGATCTTGTTTATTGGTTCTCTGCCCTATACGTTAATTGAAACATATTTAAGAATAAACACTCAAGTATTAATAATGACTTAAACTGATTTGAGGAAGCTCTGTTTGGAAATAGACCTGTGTTTTAGTGTTTATAGTGCTATATTTGGCTGATGTTTTGCATTTTTTTTCCTGCTAGCTTATTGCAAAGAAAGCAAAATCAGGGAGTCCAAATAGGCCTGTTTTCAGAGTATATACATAGTGTCCAAAAAGTCTCCAGACATAGGGAAAGTGGAAATTGCAGCTAAATGTATCTTTATTTGCAAAATATTCATATTAAAAATACCATATACCGTATATACTCGAGTATAAGCCGACCCGAATATAAGCCGAGGCACCTAATTTTACCCCCAAAAAACTGAGACAGATTGACTTGAGTATAAGCCGAGGGTGGGAAATGCAGCAGCTACTGGTAAATTGCAAAATAAAAATAGATACCAATTAAATTACATTAATTAAGGAATCAGTAGATTATATATTTTTGAATATTTACAAAAAGGATAATTTAAAATAAGACTGTCCAACTCTGATTAAATTATTATTTACCTTCTTCAGTGTAAATGTGCTTATGTATCCTTCCAATTATAATAAAGAGAACAACATAATAAATGTAATAATAACAATAATAAAAAGAGTAAAATAATGAATGTATCAATAACAATTATACAGTAAAATAATAAACATATAATAATAGAGTAAAATGATAAATGTAATAATAATAATAATAATAATAAATAGAATAAAATAATAAATGAAATGAAAATAATAATAATAATAATAACAACAACAGAGTAAAATAATAAATAACCTTGACTTGAGTATAAGCCAAGGGGGACTTTTTCAGCCTAAAAAAAGGGCTGAAAAACTTGGCTTATACTTGAGTATATATAGTTTTCTCTAAATTTTGCCCACTTCTTTTTTAAAACACACAGAGGTATCTCCTCCACTCATAGAGAACACACTTCAAGATATCTGTTGTTATGCAAATTATGAATATGGCCCTTCAAATAATCAGTTTTTCCAATCTTTTCCTTGTTCCTTTTAAGTGGCTCCACAAGTAAAAGTCAAGATGGGAAAGACCAGGGGTTCTCGTAGGCCATTCCACAGGGCTGTGGTGATCAATCCATATGTACAGAGACTTCTGGGACACCCCGTGTTTTTAGTGGATAATTGGGGTTGGGACAGGCCCAGCATTAAGCAGAAAAATAGATAATATGAAGATGGCAAAAAACACATGAGGACAGAACCTGATTTAAACATTTCACATCCCATGTCAAAAGAAGGGGAAAGTGTACATTAATTAAACAAAGTAGCGCTGAAAAGTTGTGATCCCCTGTATATGATTATAGAGCTTGTGAACTTCTGTTGAACTATTCATATCTTGAAATTGCTTCGAGAATTAAGATTCTCATGCAATTACTGTGTTTCCTGCTGTGTTGTATTGATGTTACTTTTTCTTGTTTCTTTATTAGGTGTTAATCACAAAGAGGTTGTGGACCTTGCCAAGCAGCATTTTGGCAATGTTCCTTTTGAGTACAAGGAAGATACAATACCCATTCTTCCAAAATGCCGCTTTACTGGCAGTGAGGTAGCATTTTATTTTTCTTTGCATCCTTGAGGAAAAGAATTATAATCTTGGAAATTGTACATAGGTACTAAAGGCTGTTTTTAATTATAATAAGTCAATTCCTGAGACTTTATGTGTAGTCTTGTGTGTCTAATTTAGAATTTTTCTCTGAGAGAATGCCGCTTTTACCAGAAAGCTTATTCTGTTTGAACAAAATATTGTAAGAAGCTACTGGATATTAAATGTATTTGAAAGTCTGTGATGTATAGTATTGATACCTAGATTTAACATTAGAAGCAGAACAAGGAAATTATACATTTGTGTTCTCTGAGTCTTCCTTCTCTTGATTAAAATCGTGTTGCTCTTTCCCATACTATTTCAATAGTATGTAGGATGATTGAATTCATGGCTTACCTCTGAGCCCTGAACTCTAATTTCAGACACCTTGATTGTTTAAAATACAGAATAAAACTATTTTAATTTTATTTTAAAATGTAAACTGGTTAAAATTTAATGTAACAGACAAACAGGAAACTTTTATCTCTGTAGAAAAGCTCTGAATGTATTCTTCTACTGCTATTTTCTTAAAGATCCGTGTCAGAGATGATGCTTTGCCATTGGCTCATGTTGCCATTGCTGTCGAGGGACCAGGTTGGGCTGATCCAGACAATATTCCCCTCCTGGTTGGTAACGCAGTGATTGGGAGCTACGATCTTACCTTTGGGGGTGGGAAGGTAAGACTTGAGACTGGAATATTAATATCCAATGACTTCATTTTATGTCGAGCTAAGGATTGCCATCTTCTGTAAGCTATATTTCAGAGGAAGGAAATGGCAAACTACCTCTTGAGTATTTCTTGCCTAAGGGAACCAAATGAAATTTATGGGGGTCACCCTAAGTCATCAGGTACCTTAAAGGCTAATGCACACACAAGCAAAACCCTATAAAACTGTGAAGGTCAATTTTGTGAAGTGTACCACAAGTTTTGGTGTACTTTTTAGGTAATTTAGTTTTGAAATATTTTAGCTTGTCTAGAACAAAGGTTTGTGGCAGATGCAAAAGAATGTTAACTTCCTGGCAAGATGGGGACCCTTACAGGAACACCACGTAAAATGGCCCATGATAGTTCTATTCTATCCTCATTTAGGAAGAGGGAAATGATGATGGCAGCAAGAAAAGAGAACTGACAGCTCCAAGCCAGCTGTTCTTCCTCAGAGCCAAGGCAGTGTACAAGAGGCGGGGGGATAACTTGGGCAATAATCAGTTCTTTTTTCCCACTGCTGCTACTGCATTTGCTGTTTGTATCTTGCTGCTGCCATCGTAGCTATGCAAGCAGAGGCTCTAGGACAGGCATGGGTAAACTTTGGCCTCCAGGTGTTTTGAACTTCAACTCACACAATTCCTAGCACGAAAACACCTAAAGGACCAAAGTTTACCCATCCTGCTCTAGGATCTTGCTTACAGCTATCTGTGCTGTCCTCAAGTTTCTGGAGAATTTGGTCAAAGATGAGAATCGAACCTCAACTATATATTGAATGATGATTGACAGCACAAAGCTAGTCTTCAGAATGTCCTCCTTGCCCTTGTGGCAGCTGACTACAGGGACTGTAGCTCCGTGATCCAGGCCTTGCATTTTCAAAAATCCAAGTTCAATCCTGAATGTTTTCCCTTAAAATATGTTGAGGTACTAAAGGTGGGAAAACATTTTCTTAAGATCTCAGAAAGCTTCTCCCAGTCAGCTGGTCAGCAGTAGGCAGAAAGGCCAAGTGTTTGATTCATTGTAAAGTGCTTCATTGTATTTAATCTTCCTTCTATACATGATATCACTGGCAGCATTTTTCCAACATGGTGCACCCCGACCTTGAAAAGCCGGATCTGGCTTATGGTGGTGCACGCATAAGGTTACATCCAGATTAGACTACATGATTATGTTTATGATGAGTCCTGACCCGGGAGAAAAGCAGGATTAATAATAATAATAATAATAACAACAACAATAATAACAATAATAATAATAAGCTTAAGATTCTTACATTCCAAATTTCAGATGCTATTTAAATGACCTGGCTCACCCCTTTGTTTGTAGAGTTATATTTTCATACTCAAAGAAATTGCTATGTTATTCAGTGGCATCTGAAGAAGCAGATTGATATCTACAAAAGCTTCTGATAAAATAGATCAGTTAGTCTTAAAGATGCTGTTGGTTTCTTCTCCATTTCCCTATTCTTTTTTATACAAACGAGGAAGTCCTTGCCAAAGATTACAGATATAGTTATCTGTTGATGCTAATAACAATAGATAGTGATGTATTGTCGAAGGCTTTCATGGCCGGAATCACTAGGTTCTTGTGGGTTTTTTTCGGGCTATAGAGCCATGTTCTAGAGGCATTTCTCCTGACGTTTCGCCTGCATCTATGGCAAGCATCCTCAGAGGTTGAGAAGGTCTGACCTTCTCAACCTCTGAGGATGCTTGCCATAGATGCAGGCGAAACGTCAGGAGAAATGCCTCTAGAACATGGCTCTATAGCCCGAATAGATAGTGATGCCTGGCTTTTCTTTTTCATTTGTAATTGGTGAATTTAAATTTGATCTTCTAAGGTGATTTGAATACCATACATTAGCTACCCAAATTAACTGAGATAATTGTGGTGTAATTAGTCATAATGTTTCATAATTATTTATTTACAGAACCAATCTAGTAAACTGGCTTCGATTGTTGCTCAGACAAACATGTGCCAGAGTTTCCGAGCCTTCAACACCTGCTACTCTGACACAGGGCTCTTCGGTTTTTATTTTGTTACTGATGGCTTGCATATTGAAGATACAATGCATTTTGCCCAGGGTGAATGGTGAGCATGATTTCCTTTCCTTGAAAAATAAGAAGGAAAAAATGTTTGATAATGGAACAATTAGAAAAAAAATCCTCAGTCCTGTTGTTGCAGTTATATGCTAGATCCAAATTACATATGTTATCTTGAGAGTAAGGAGTGAAATGATCATTGAAGTCACCTGTAAATGAGCATTAAGAGTATTTGTTCTTCTGTTTACCACACGCCCCTGTCTCTGCTGTCTCCTATTTCAGTTCTGATACAGTTAGTGGGCCTCGGCTCCTTTGCAGCTGTTATGACCATTCCACCATTATTTTATGTTTTTATATATATATATATATATATATATATATATATATATATATATATAGGATTATAGAGATAGATATATGATATTATACATAGATATATGATATTATATATAGATATTTAAGATATTATAAAACCTATTTTAATTTTTTTTAAATTATCAATGTGTGTTACATATAGTGTCAATGAGCCATCCTGATATTTAATTTTGAGACTAGAAAGATGAAAAGAAAGGGAGTCAGTGTCATGTAAAAGTGGTTGGTATTTGCTTAAGACTCCACATTCCCACCCTATTCAGGATGAGCCTCTGCACTAGTGTGACTGACAGCGATGTGAAGAGAGCCAAAAACATCCTTCGAAATTCCTTGGTGGCTCAACTGGATGGTATGTTTCTTTTATTAGGCAACTCCTACTTGACAAGTTCTGAGCAGGATTTTATGTATTTCCCCCATCTGAGAATTGCAGTGAAAGTGCTGTTTCTCCTGACTCCCTCTTGGGGATGAAAGACCAAATGATATGGTGTGCATAAATTACTGTAAGACTTGTCCAACACTAAAAGTTTGCTGTCTATCCAATCTGCACCATCTTAGAATAGGAAGCTTGCTTTATTTGTAAGCTGACTTATGCTACTTAGAAAACAGGCATTTTTAATTTGCCATCTTGCTGATTACATTGTAAGGTTTTTGTAAGCAGAACTTGTTGCCTCTTTTTTATCTTCTCAGTGTAATTTTTTCCATACTACTTGTCCTTATCATTTAGTTCAGATTTGGGGTTTTCTAGATGAGACCTGTTGCTTCTGTTCCAGAAAATAAGCACAACTTCTTTTCAGTGTAAAAAGAAATTACTCCTTATTTAATTGTCCTTATTTAATTAATCGATGAATTAAACATTGTAGGACTAAAAACAGGGCCCTATATTCTGCACAGAGTTATACACATCTTGCTAGTGATACTTAAGTGGAGTAAAATCCCAAGTGCATAAATATATATGTCATCTCAATTAGCATTCCAGTTTTTTCCCATTAAATAAAACTTCAAAATTTCAAAACGAGAATTTTAGATGCTTCAGTGGCCTAGTTCGCAAGTGTATGTGCCATTAAAATAATTGTGGTCCTACCAGTGGCCCTTCTCAAATACTGTATATACAAATGAGTACATTAAGACCAAAAATGATGTATTCAGTTAAACTGAAACTCCTGAAAGTCAAATCAAAGTTTTGTTGGAGCTTTCTTGAATGAAGTACCAAAGGCACACATGGCTACCAGGACCTGGTAAGCATTTATCAATACTGTTTGCATCTGCAGATTTGGAAGATGTTTCATATCAGTAAATGCTGCTTCAGATTTCTATTGTCAACTGACTCATATTTTCCAGGCACTACTCCTGTCTGTGAGAATATTGGAAGTCAGCTGCTGAACTATGGACGGCGGATATCTCTGGCAGAATGGGATGCCAGAATTTCTGTATGTACTATCGATTTATGGAGCGGGTGGTTTGGGGGATAATAATATTGCTATTGACATCTGTGGCTTTTGTATATTACAACCAAAGCTAGGGGATTAGTTTAAATACATAAAAATATAAGCATTGTCACATCAGCAGATAGTGTTTTGAAAAAAAACAAAAAAAAAACAAAAAACACTCAGGTTCTCAAACCAAACCTCTGAACATGACAGTTTTCCACAGATTCAGAGCCCATATTGCAAGATACAGAAATATTTGGAGCTGGAGGGAAATAATTTAGTCTTTGAAGTTTCACACATTCATCATATTACACTTGTTGGACAGTAACTAAAAAGAAAGGCAGTGAGTGAAGTTTCCTTTAATGGTTTTGGAGATAAATGTTATAGATCAGGCATGGACAAACTTAATAATAATAATAATAACAACAACAACAACAATAATGCTTTATTTATATCCTGCCACCATCTCCCCGAAGGGACTCGGGGCGGCTTACAAAGCACTCCAGGGTGAACATATAACATACAACCGGTAAAACAGTACAAAAGTATAAAACAAGTCACATAAAATTATGACAACAACCCCCCCCCCCCCCCCCCCCCCCCCCGTCAACGCATGCTAAAATCAAAACAATATAATTTTGAAACAACAGTAGATAAAACTAACTGCAGTCAATTCACAGGTGCTAAGTGTCAGCATCAGATGGGCCCATTCAGCCTACTCAAGCTCAAAGGCCTGTCTGAACATCCATGTTTTCAGGCTGTTCCTATCGGCTGTTAAGAATTGTGGGACTTGAAGTCCAAAACACCTGGAGGACTGAAATTTACCCATGCCTGTTATAGATGCTGGGAGTAGCTTTAGAAGGCTCTGTGCCAAATAGGGCCAATTTTACTAAGCATGATACATCTTTTTCCTGGTAGCTTACTTTGCCCTGAAGTCTTTAGCTTTATTCTGTATATTGAAATGTAATACTGCTTTTGCCTTACATGTTTTCTAGGAGGTTGATGCCAAAACTGTGCGCGAGGTGTGCAGTAAATACCTTTATGACAAATGCCCAGCTGTTGCAGGAGTAGGTAAGTGGATATACCTTAGGTAAGCTCTGCTACTTAGAAGCTGAGAAGGCAGTGGGCATTCTTTTCCTTTCTTCTCTCTCTTCCTTTTTTTTCCTTTTCTATTTTTTTTCTTTCTCTCTCTTTTCTCTTCCTCCCACTTTCTCTTCTGTCCAGTTTTTCTCTTTTCTCCTATCTTTGACTGTCTACACATCCCAAACTCATTCCATCACATCCTTATTCCCAACCCCGTCCAATTATCCTTCCCCACTTCAATCTTCTTTCTGCTTTTAAAATATATGTAAGCAAAACTTTAATAAACATATCTTTTATATAAAAAAAGAAGGCAGTGGGTGTAAATAGGCCATGGCTTCGTTAGCCTGGCTTTTCTCAGGCTTTCGTGGAGCAACTTGTCCTTTTTTTTGCGGGGGGGGGGGGGTTGCATCAGTTTGACTATGTCAGAATAAACATTGACCGTGACATGGAGTTGAGACTTAACTATGAAGGCAGCAACAACGCTGCATGCCACCCTTGTAATCCTATTGGAGCAGGGCTACAAATACAAGGGAGCAGGGCTTACAAAATTCTCTTTTGGGGAAATATTCTTTTATGTAACACTATCAGGCTGGCAGGCTGGCTCTCTGCAGCAATACTACTGCGATCTCTGTCTGTCAGCCAAGAAAATCCTTATTTCAGGAAACCTGCCTGAACAGCTCAGTTTCTTAAACGAGCTGGTGTTTCCCCTCCTCACACCTGCCATTATTAAGACAGAGGCTGAGCCTTCAAAGCCAAGCTCTTTAGATGGGCTGGGGTTTCCAGACAACTTGCAAAACCTACAAAATCCCCCCAAACACCATATTCTCTGAAACCATTCAGGCTTGGATTTTGTCATTATCAGATCAAGAATTTGAATTCCTGAGAAGCAGGGAACAGAGGTATATTGTTAAGAATTGATCTTAAAGGCATGTATGGTAGTCCAGTAAGACTTCTGTTTAACTCTCCTGTAGTTTTTTCAGACCTTAATAGTTTTAGACAGTATTACAGTGCATTGGGACAAAACGATGCCAGAAGTTTCTTTGCAATCTTTCAAATGACCCCCCTCTCTTCTCTCTCAGGTCCTATTGAACAGCTTCCGGATTACAACCGTGTCCGCAGCGCTATGTACTGGCTTCGTTTCTAGCCTGTGTTGTGCAGAATAGAAATATGGCCATGCAGCCAAGGAAAGGTGCATCCTCCAGGTCTATTCTTGTGACTTTCTTGAGTGCCAGTGGCAAGTTGGGTTCCCTAATTCCTGTACAATACTCTTCTTTGAAGTTATGTAGGTGGCATATTCAAGAAAATGAAATAAATTAAACTTATATGACGTTGGTGTCCAGTGTTTATGAGGAGACAGTAATGAAAGTGAGATGGGCTGAGGGCATCATCCCATCTTTATGAGAAGGTTTAGCCTTTTATCATAAGTCTTATTTACACTTGCTTGTGTTACCATTTTGTCCATATAGAAAAATGATAAATGTTTTACCACTTTGATTTGACCTTCTTCAACAGGTAATTCAAAGTGATGAAAAAATACTGAGAAAACAGATATGTTCCTCTTCCTCCTCTTCATCTTCTTCTTTTGGGGGGGGGGGCTTCATGGGTTATTTTGAAACTTTGTTCCCTTCTTCTGTATCAAATAGTCAAAAGTCTTTCCACTAGGCAAGAAAACAATGTACAGATTCTTAACAGCATTAGCCTTTTCTTTTTAACTGGCTGTCAGGTGGTTGAGGTGTGTTTAAAAATAGTCCAATATAACTCACCCCCTCCAAAAAAAACTTCATTAGGATTATGAATTTAATGTTGCAAGTTTGCATTATAAGACAACATAATAAAGTCGACTTGAAGGCGAATTTAGTTCCTGTTGTGAAATTTTCTCCTGGGCTTCTTGGCATCCCTATGGCGCTTTGTCACAATTTTCTTCCATGCACAGAAATTTCTTAGGAGTATTTCAAAACAAAACAAAAACTACTGTGGTGCTCTCAGGATGGCATCTTCACAAACCCATCCTAAAATATATGATATGGACAAAATGGTAAGCTAGTATTCTTATCTTTCAGCAAGCGACTGCCAACAAGGAAGAGACCCACTTAGCTTTGATCAGGGTTAGGCAACTATGCAGGAGGCAGAAGACATCCCTCATCAGAAGACTGTTCTGTCATTTTCCAGGTCACCTGAAGGGATACAGGATTCTTACTGTCATTCTTGCGTTTTTTTCAGCTGAGTTGTCTCATGGGGGAAGGAGGATGGGGAGTTCTGTAAGTTTAAGGGAAACAACCTGCCACATTTTCAAGGAATTTTAGACTGGTTTGGACCGATTTTCAAGCAAAAAGTGCCTGAAAATCATTCCACAAAATATTTTCAAATGTGGGCCTTAGATGGCTTTACAGAGCTCCACAGGGCATCAGCAGGCACACTTGGGAGTGCCAATGGCTGCTTGCTGTCCCTAAACCACACTTTACACCCATCCCTCTCTTACATGTTTGCTAGTTTCACTTCCTCATTTAATTCTATAATAATACATTGAACTCCTAATAGCTTAGTGAGCTGAACCTACGTTTTCTAAAAATTAAGCAAGGATCAGCTGAGCACTGGGCAACTGACTGCATAATCCTTGCAGAATATATGAAATGCAACATGGTTCTGATTTATAGGCCCTTCAAAGTAGTTGATCTGTTCTGCAGCATCCTCACTGTTCTACAGTGCTTTTTTTAGGAGCCCCCGGTAGTGCAGTGAGTTAAAACCTTGTTCCGGCAGAACTGAAGACGGACAGGTCGGAGATTCGAATCCGAGGAAAGTGCGGGTGAGCTCCCTCTGTCAGCTCCAGCTCCTCGTGTGGAGACATGAGAGAAGCCTTCCACATGGATGATAAAACATCAGAACATCCAGGCATCCCCTGTGCAATGTCCTTGCAGATGGCCAATTTTCTCACACCAGAAGAGACTTACAGTTTCTCAAGTCGCTCCTGACACGAAAAATATAATAAAATAGTATGCTTGTTTATTCAAACATGTATTGAAAGGCAAATATTATACATTTAAATGGCCAATAACTGTATTGCAGCCGTCAGAAAAAGGTGTAGTTTGTTGGGTAACTAAGCTTATATCCATAAAGTTCTAAGCAGTCTGCATGTAATTTGTATAGGTATCTGTAAAGATCACCTTGATTGGTTCATGTTAATGGATTGTTCAGTTTTTTGATCTAGTCAGACTGCTTGAAATCGATATATGGATCAATTAATTTGATAGCCAAGCTTTCCCCTTGCTTTCTAAAACCCGTGGTGTGACTGGCAGAGATTCCCCACAGGATGGCAGTAGTTTATCACATTTAAGCTCCTTAAAAGTCATTTTTATTGTTCTATTTTTGGGTGACGTCTTGAAGTTCCACTCCGTTTCTAAATGTTGTCCTGACAAATGAATTTAGAAATAATGTCAAAACTTCCAGAAGTTAGTCATAAGACTTGACACAAGTCCAGCAAACATGCCATGTTGGCTGAATTTGGATTCATACTGGCAGTTGGAGTGTGAACTCACACTGTCTTAGACAAGTTTGAAATTGTCAAGAGCTCTTGCTGTAATTTGCACTGAAACTGCCATTGCAAGCTGTGGCTCGTTGAATCTGCCACTGAACACCCAGAAGCAAACTTGCTGTTTCCTGAAGTTTGGGCTCACAAACTACTGTATTATATTTTAGTTTATAAGTCTTGTTTTGTCCTGATCTTCCCTCTATCTCCTCCTGGCACATTTGATAACAATATCTCTCGTACAAAGGCAAGTAAACATAATGTCTTCCCATGTCTGCATTCCCATATACTTGGTTACAGGGAGGAGGAGTGACAGGTCATTTTAGTGCTGGCAAGGTACCTTTTCCCTTCCCTGGGGCTTATATCTGTAAATAAAATGTGCTGTGTAGTAATGTGTCATAAAAAGCTACTTCATAGCATGTGAAATTGCTTGAATCATCCCATATATAACTAGATTTGTAAATCTGTAAAATCAGATGGCAGATTGGCAAGATTTACATCAAATAGTTATTGGTTAGAATTTCAAGATATTTACAGAAAAAGATGTAGGAAAACAGGATGGATTATGATCCATCTTAGGCCAGTGTCAAATATTCCCTTCTTGACTAAGTTCCTATAATAGGATCCCAGTTTCAAGGATTTCTAGATAAATTAGATTATCTAGATCCATTTCAATCTGGAATGAGATCTGGTTGTGGGATAGGCAGCTTTAATTATCTTGAAGGATGACCTACACGGGAACCGAACAGGATGATGGTGTGTGTGTGTATCTGAGTATTCCTTGCCTATGAAAATCCTCTGAAATTAATGCAGATGATACCAAATTGGGAGGGATAGCCAATACTCCAGAAGACAGGACCAGAATTCAAAATGATCTTAACAGATTAGATCGATGATGGGCCAAAACTAACAAAATGAAGCTCAATAGAGACAAATGCAAGATACTCCACTTAGGCAGAAGAAATGAAATACGAACATACAGAATGGGGGATGCCTGGCTCCATAGCAGTACATGTGAAAAAGGTCTTAGAGTTCTTGTGGAAAGCAAGTTGAACATGAGCCAACAATGTTAAAAAAGCCAATGGAACTTTGGTCTGCATAAATAGGAGTCTAGTGTCTAGAATCCAGGGAAGTTGTGCAACTCCTCTGTTCTGCCTTGGTCAGACCACACCTGGAATACTGTGTCCAATTATGAGCACCACAATTGAAAAAAGATGTTGACAAGCTCGAATGTGTCCAGAGGAAGGCAACTAAAATGATCAAGGGTCAAGCCCTATGAGGAGTGGGCATATTTAGCCTGCAGAAGAGTAGGCTGAGAGGAGACATGATGAGGGCCATGTATAACTATGTCAGGGGAAGTCATAGGGAGGAGGGAGCAGGCTTGTTTTCCACTGCCCTGGAGACTAGCATGCGGAACAATGGCTTCAAACGAAAGAAAAGGAGATTCCACATGAACATGAGGAAGAACTTCCTAACTGTTCAGCAGCCCCAGAGTGTGGAGGAGGCTCCTTTGGAGGTGTCATCTGTTGGGGGTGCTTTGATTGTGCTTTTCCTGCTTCTTGGCAGGGGGTTGGATGGCCCGTGAGGTCTCTTCCAACTCTATGATTCTGTAATTCTATAATGGGGTCACATAAGTTGATAGGCAACTTGAAGGCACATGCACCAAGAGGGAAGTTGGATTATTCCATAGTAGAGTGCATTTCAATCAGTAGTAGGCCTGGGTAACAACGGAAAAATTTGTTTCTAAAATCGATTCGTTTTTTGGGGGTTTTTGCGTTTCGATATTTAAAAGAATTCCGAAATTTTTCTTTTAAAAAGTTCGATATTTACGAAATTTCGTAAATGTTAAAAAAATTATGAAACATTACCGAAACAAATACGAAACAATAACGAATCGATTCGTTAATGGCGGACGCGACCGCGCAATACGCTAAAAAACCTCCAAATGGGACAGGGGGAACTTCTGAAGCTTCCCTCTCCCTCTGTTGTTGACTGTTGGTGTGATATTATAATTTTTTTTCACTAATTAAACAAAAAACAACTATAAAACTTGCCCCAGACATGCGGAAATAATAACGAAACAACCTCAAAACAATAACGAAACGAATACATAACGAATCCGAAGCATTTACGGAACGAATTTAAAAATTCGTTTTGTTTTTAAGTTGCTCCAGAATGGTTCGTTATCGCTTCGTTATAAAAAAAATAACGAATTTTTAACGAATTACGAATTAACGAAACGAAACCGCCCAGCCCTAATCAGTAGCAGTTCTTAATGTCAGCTAATAGAAATGTACAAAATATTCATTACTGACCATTAGCTTTTAATATTCTGTAGAGAGAGAACCACAATTGTTCCAATATTTCACTGGTGGGTAATAGTTTATATCATGTTTTAAGAAGTTGTTAAAATACACCATAAGTATAAGCTTCTTGTCCAGAGCATGCTAGCTTGATTTGTCAAAAAATTTACAGAACACCAGCCGTAGTAGTAGCACTATTTGTGTTTACTATCCAGCAATTCTTTATATAAGCCACTCTGAATCTGTAAGTGAGGGGAGACGCAGTGGTTGCTACTGAATGTGCACAGACGTGGAAATACAAGGCTTTCTGCTATTGTTTTGGGAAAGAATCTTGCCTGGGGCTTTCCATGGGCTTTCATTTGGACCATCCCTTGGTGGGTTGCTGAATCCCTGTGTCGCCATGTACTTGCTGTTGCTGGCTCAAGAATTCAGTGCCCGGGGAGATGAAACTTAAAACTAGCTGGCACGAAGCTCGTGTTAAATGAGCCACCCAGATCAGCT